TATGTTTCCAAAGATCAAGTTTGGATTGGACTCTTTCAAGGATTTTATCCCAGACTGCCAAAAGAAGCTTCGAGTCAGAGATGGAAAGCCCAAGATAGGTTACTGGAAAATAGTCTACTTTACACCCCATCACGCTAATCAATTCATCAACAACCTCCTCCAAAAAATTTAAAGGGAAAAAATAATAACTGAGGTATTGTTCTTAGGTTGGATTCATGAATTTGCAGCTCAAAGAATAGTGTAAATCTGATCTTCTTGAGGAAAACATAATTTGATTATGTGCATATGAAGTTTTTTAGTTACCCTGGTGAAATTTTTGTTTCCATCAGCAATCAGTGACTTGCGCCACGGGTGAGACCGAGTTGGGGCGAGTTCCACGGCAAATCACCCTACCCTTATAAACAATGGTTTAAAAACCAAATCAGTGCTTCGAATCGTATATCCCAAAAACCCATCTGGATCGGTAAATTGGCGTTTCAAATCGGGAATCGGTAATTTTTGTCTCAAAATATCTTTAAAAAATCACTATAAATCTCTGAAAATAATGTTATTTTAGTTTCTTAAAGAATTTAGGATTGGTGCATTACGTATTTTCAGTACTTTGTAAAAATAGGTGATTATTGAGACGTTGTTTTTCTATATGGATGTCTGTATAATTAAAATAAATATATTAATAAATAAAATATAAGACTTGGTTATCATTGTAATTAGTATAAACAGTGGTATAACCCTCACAGATAAATAAATCTAATATATAACAATTAGTGTGGATACAAAAATAAAATTTAGAAATATAAATTTACAATAATATTTTAATAAAATTAAAAAATAAATAAATAAATTCATACTTGCAATGTGAGGTAACTAATTACAAACACTTCCATATTATAAGATTAAAAAAATTAATTTCCCATATAAATTAGTATCACACCAAAGTATCAAACATTTATTAATTTGTTTTACTTATCCAAAATTATTACAACTTAACTAACTATAATAATATTATTGAACTTGAAGTTGTTAGTTTATAATTTTATAATTTATAATTATTTTACTATACAAATAAAAATATGAAATGTCTTAAAATATCATATAATTTAAAAAATCTTATTTACAATTATAAGAAAAAATAATACGTTATAAAATTTATAATATAAATAAATTAATAAATAATATACAAGAATTGGTTATTAATAAATTAAAAAAAATTATATTTGCAATGTGGGATAATTGTATGAGTTAGTGTTATTTTTTTCTCTTAAAATATCCTCTAAACTAATTTTTTTTAATATCCAATAGACTAGAATTGGTGTTATTTTATTTTATTTTATTTTTAATATCCTATGAGCTAGTACTAATTTTTTAATCCTAATTAACTAATTAATTAATTATTGCTCATATAATGAAATAATCACAAGATATAATAGCTTAATAGAGTTTTTTTTTTTTTCGGTAAGTAATTTAAATTTTGTTGGTGAAAGATAGGGGTGATGGGCACCCAATTATTATTTTTAATATTTTTTATCATCTAATTTAATTGCGGCCATCGGATGTACAACCTTCTTATTTATGATGGGCATACACCGTCGCGCGTACATCATTGTGTGAACACCATCTCATTATAATTTATCCCAAGCTAGCAATATTTGCCTGCCTTCTTATTCGTGACAGGCTGGTTTTTCAACTCACAGGATGTCCCACATCGAAGCGATCTGGGAAGAAATAGTCCTATAAAAGAACCCAACCATCCTAATCAATTGATTGTCGTCTTGGCAATGTGTATGGTAGTGCACGTTGAAGGTTGTTACTTGCCACGTGCATGTGCAGTTGCACGTTATACGCACATGTGGGAATCAGGGGTTGGTCCACGCTGACCCATGCTGTATATACCTTTCTAGAACCCTTCCACATGTGGGAATCGGGTGTTGGTCCATGGTGACCCATGTTGTTATACCTTTCTAGGGGTTGGTCCACGCTGACCCATGATGTTATACCTTTTTAGAATCGGACGACTTTAACGTGTTGTTCTAGAACCCATGTTGTATACCTTTCTACAATCGGACGACTTTAACGTGTTTTTCTAGAATCGACACAGGGTGGCCGATTCCCATGTCCTCGGGCGTTAGAATTGACATGGGGTGGCCAATTACTATGTCCTCAGGCATTTTTTAAAACATTGCTTATAAATGTAGTAAAAACCATTTAATAAATAGAAAAATATTGAAAAAGTGGGAAACACCACTATATTTGTTTGAAATAAGTTTTTAGATGATTTTGGTAGTTTTAGTATGATTCATAAACTTTCATATTTTTTATTTTGTTTATTTTTTTAAAATAAAATTCTTAAAAATTCAAAGCCTAAATCAAAATTTTCTATAATCCATAGTATATTGGTCTTTTTCATCTTTTTAGTCTTTCTAGTGTTTCATATTATTTTTTCTATGTTTTATTTTTAACTAGTGTTAAAAAATTACCCCCTTTTCTATCTTTTTTTTGTTGTATGTGACTCGGACACAGCCAAGTTACTCACTTCGGCCTTGAGCCAAGTACCTTGACCGAGATGGGCTTCTGAACCTTGGGTTCCCTTATAAATTCTTCCTTTTTCTTTTTTTTCTTTTTTTATCATGATTTTTGTTGTTCTCCTTTCCTCATCTCCAGCTATCATATGTTAAATATTACATTATTTATCCAAAAGGTAAATAAACTTCTATTAATAAGGAAAAGATTATATAAGGTTGCAACCTTAAAATGTAAAATTAAGGTGCACCTCAAAACTCCATCATATATGGTTGTTTTCATGTTGGAAAACCCTCAAATTGATCAAGAGATGTATGAATATGAAAAGAAGAAAAGATTTTGAGTCCCAAATATAGTATATCTTACAACAAATTATCTACCTAAATCCATCTTAAAGATGGATTTTTTTATCCAGTTTTTTGGGGAATCACGATATAGGCCAAAGTGATCATGAATATAGAAGAAAAAATTTAAAAAATCTGAAATAATATTTTTTCGGGATTTTGTTTGCCTTGTCTATATATAGTATTGGTCTGTGCCCTTTTATGGAACGTCCATCTCAAAGATGGATGCTTGTTTCGTAAATCCCTTACTCTTCCATAGACCAAGAAATAGGGCCGTTTCCAAGAATTTTTTTTTCTTTTTTCACTTTTTTTCTTCTTAGGTAATTTAGTGGGGAAGACATGTCCCTACCCGTTTTTTCAATTGGATTAGGAGTTAGCTTTTTTAAAGTATTAGTGTAGTAATATTAGTGGTGGGAATAAAAACCACAACATGGTAACTAAGATGTGGGGTGCTACCACTATAACCCGAGCCCCTTTCTCAAAAGAACATGAGTATGCATGTCCATAGAAGACAAAGGAAGAACGTTTATTTCAAAAAATGTATAGTATGTGATACGGGTGATGTTTGTATAAGGTGTCAACCTTATACTATTGTAGTATGTTGCACCTCAAAACTATGCCGAAAATATAATTTTGGCACTGTCAAGCCCTGCAATGATATGAAAATCCATTGTTTATCCCAATTATGAAATTTAAAGTTTTAAAAACAGTGACAATCAAGCAGATCTAGAAACACTGGAAAATCTTGAAAATGGATGGTCCAGATAATGTGTTAGAATATGAGTTATTTTTAGGATTAGAAATCCCTTTGTTTTCATGTTTATGAATCTTGAGGTTAAGATGATCCGAATTGAGGGTTTTCTAATGCAAGAACAACTTTCTCTAATGCATTTTTTAAGTGCACCTTACTTGTACAGTATAATAAATACTCTATTTTCCTAAAGTCAATGATATGACTTAGATCGTTAGGTGCCCAAGTCTACTTTTTCTTTTTCTTTTTAATAGAAAATACACATAAAAACTTTTTTCTAACTTAAAAACTTGGATGAACATTTAGCATACACCACCAAATTTTTTTGTAAGATGTAATTTTGTTGTCAAAATTTTTAGGACGGCATAAGAATCTATTTTCACTTTTAAATATAAAATTTAAATTAAAAAAATGATTCAAATCAAGTAGATTTATAAACACATGACAATATTGAAAATGCATGGTCTAAATAGTGATGCACTATTTTTGGGACTAAAAACCTTTTCTTTTTTTTTCATGTTCATACATGATGTGAGATGATTAATTAGAAGGTTGATATGCACCTTAATTTTACCTTTTAAGTTTGCTTCGTTATAAACCTTTTCCATAGAAACGTTCAATTATGAAAAAGAATCAGGTACTATAATTAAAAATTAAGCAATTATTGAATCATCTAACTTCTGATTCTCCCCTCTTGCAAATGAATACGCAACCACTAAACTTCTACTTTCTTTTATTTCGTTTTAAATTCCAACTAATCTTGTATTTTATTCGCCTAAAGATGGTGGTCGACATGGTCGCTTTAACTAATCCTCCAAATAAAACCTCTCCATTGAAGAGGAGCCCATGCTTATGTTGTAATCACACGTCCATACTGTATTGCAATTATAATTTTTGACCCTAATCATGCTTAGTGCTCAATTAGCTAACAGGCGCTATTCGCAATCATATTTTCACCATTCCCACACAGATCATGGGTGCATAAAAACAAAATGGGCCTCTTGTGAGCATTCAACCCATGTTTCCAATGAGCATAGCATGCCCATATTTCCAACGAGCAAATCATAAAATGGGGAAAATCAGTATTTGAATAACCCTTCCTCAAATGAGACAAGGACAAGGACAAGGACAAATAAAATGAAGTCCCAATAAATTGATTTAAACACCACTTGTTCATTATCTTTTCTTTGTCGCACCTTCTCCTTGCTTTCTCTTTATCTTGCTGCTTCCTACCCACTTTTGACTTTTTATTTATTTATTTTTTTGCTGTTTATCACTTGAAAATACCCTTCCCTCAATCGACAATGACATGGCCATGTGAAATGAAGTCACACTACTTGTGTACTAAAGATATATTTAATCCCACTTGTTCATTGTCTTTTCTTTGGTGGAGCTTCGCTTTGTTCACCTTGGTTTTGTTATCTTCTTCGCCAAAAGGACACTTGGTTTTCTCTACCAGTTGGGCTTTTTACAAGGTGCTTTTTGTTCAGTGTGGCTAACTTAACACTTGTATTGTAAGTGAACTGTTTCATTGTGTTTGTCTCCCTTTTGCTATCATGGAAATTGCTACCTGTGTGCTCGGAATTGTGAATACATTTTTGGAACCCATCACTCAGCAACTCGGATATTTCTTCAAATCCCAGGAGAAGGTCGAGGAACTGAAAAATGAGATTGAATGACTCAAGGCCCGAATTCCTGATTTGGAGGCAAATATTGAAGCAGCAGAAAGAAGTGGGAAGGCGGCCACGATTGAAGCGCAACAGTGGTTCAATAGGGCACGAGAATTGGAACGTGAAGCAGATGCAGTAGTCCAAAGATACAACCAAAACAAGTGTTGCTTTGGAAGACTGTGCCCAAATTGCCCCTCCAACTACAAGTTGGGTAAACAAGCAACAAAGAAACTAGCCCAAATCACCACTCACATCGACAGGGTAGATACTGTGACTTGGAGCATGGATCGAGCACCGCCATTTGGGAGGGAGATGCCTACAGCTTCAATCACAGGTCAGTCAACATTTGATAAAAATGTAAATAAGATCCTTGAATGCTTGAGTAATGATGAATTCGGTGTGATTGGCATTCACGGTATGGGTGGGGTTGGAAAGACAACTCTCATGCATGAAATCAATAATGGTGTATTACAAAATCGAGAATTTAATAGAGTGATATGGATCACTGTATCAAAGGAAGATGTGAAAATAACTAGAATTCGAAAGGAAATCATGAAAAAATTGGGCATGACAGTTGAGGATGAAGATATGATTGTCGAGAGATTGTTTTCTGCTCTAAAGGAACATAGATTCATGCTTATATTAGATGACTTGTGGGAAAAGTTGGATTTGAATGTTGTAGGAGTCCCTCGCCCAAACCCAGAAAACAAATCCAAGGTTGTAATAACCGCCCGAGCATTAATGGTGTGCAATAGGATGGAAACTGACCATGATATTAAAGTGGATGTTTTAATAGAGGAGGAAGCGTGGATCTTGTTTCGTGAAAAAGCAAGAAATGTGGTGGTAGGTCGCCCTTCCATAGAACCCATGGCTCGTAAGGTCGTCAAAGAATGCGCAGGCCTGCCACTCGCCATCATCGCAGTCGGTTGTGCGTTGAGAGACAAGGATAATGTGCAAGTGTGAGAGAATGCACTAAGGGCTTTACGGGAAGCAACAATGGAGATCGAGGGCATGGAACGTGAAGTGTTTGTGCCATTGAAGTACAGTTATGAACAATTACAAGATGAAAACATTAGGCAATGTTTCTTGTATTGCTCCCTATTTCCAGAGGACTACGGAATTCGTAAGAATGAATTGGTAGAGTGTTGGATGTGCTAGGGACTCGTAGGCACAGTGGATAGTGTGGAGGATGCTAGAAACAAAGGTCATGCTCTAATTGAAAAGCTGATCGACTCATGCTTGATAGAGAAATCCCCTGGAAGGGACAAATTTGTGAAGCTTCATGATGTGATCCGAGATGTTGCCATACATATCGGCTCCACAAGAGAGGGCGGGGGTCTCATCGTGGATGCAGGATTAGGACTGAAGGAAGCATGCAGGGTTGAAGAATGGGGAGAGGCCCAACGCATATCGCTGATGCGTAATGAAATAGAGAGACTTCCAAATCGGCCAGTGTGTCAGGCACTCACGACATTGATACTAAGAGAAAATGAAAATTTGAGTAACATTCGGGAGGGCTTCTTTGAATGCATGGAAGCTCTAAAGGTGCTTGATCTCAGTGAAACCGGCATCCACTCGCTGCCACAATTGTTATCCAACTTGAAGAATCTGCATTACCTTTCTCTAAACGGTTGTAAGAACCTAGTTGAGATTCCTCCTATAGGAGGACTGGAGCAACTCCAATTGCTGGATTTGTCCTGTACCAAAATCAAAAGATTGCCGGAGAGGATGGGAGAAGTAGCCAACTTAAAGCTTCTAAAGCTAGAGGGTACTCGTGATCTTAAATCCATAAGACATGGGATCATATCAAGGCTATCGCGTCTGGAGGAGCTGGACGTCATGAGGAGCGGACAAGTGGTTTGGAAAACGATGGAAAGAGAAGGAGCACGTTGGGAGGAATTTGAAGAGTTGGAGCGCGCTCGAGTTCATTACGGATAAGCACCAATGGGAATGGCCCATTTTTTAACAAAAAACAATGGGATCGAAAGATATTTGATAAGATAAAAGGAGTAGGGTGCCAAGGTTTCACCAGTCTTGAGCAACTACCGCCCACGAAATGGTTGGATCGTCTGATGATTGGAAGATGTTCTCAATTGGATTTTGTTGCCCTTGATGTTGTTCCCAACTTGAATTTTTTGTTGCTCTGGGATTTGCCGCTTATGGGGAGAATTTGTTAGAGAGATGGAGACCATTGTCTTCTCAATCTCAGATATTTGCATGTTAGATATTGTGATGGATTGACGAATGTGTTTTTGGCAAATGTGGTAGAATGTCTCCAATTCTTGGAAGAAATGAGGTGCAGAGGATTAGAAGAGATAATTAGTGGGGGGCAGGCAGGCCAAAACATCACCCTCCCCAAAATAAAAGTCCTGGAATTATATGATTTGATAGAATTGAGGAGTATATGTGAGATTCCGATCATATGGCCTTCATTGGAGAGAGTGCGTGTGAGCGGTTGTCCCAAGTTGAGAAGCCTCCCTCTTGCTCTCCGAGAACCACAAATGCTAATATCAGGAGAAAAAGAATGGTGGGAGGGATTGGAGTGGGAAGGAAGATGAGCCTACCCTACAAACTCTCCTCTCCCTCTCTCTTCTTGCCTCTTCTCTCTCTTTCATTGTCCAGACAAAACCTTCTCAGCAATCATGCAACATCTCCCTCTCTCTAACTTGCTAAATGTTCAGAATATGAGGAGGCCAATGTATATTGCAAGGTGACACAGTAGTGGGCTTCATCTATGACGTGAGCTTTTAAGGTTGTAAGCTCTCTCTCTCTCTCTCTCTCTCTCTCTCTCTCGTAAAAACAATGGTGAAAGCCACCTCGTATTAGTGGGGGTAGATAGCCACCCATTGATCTCGTATTGAATCCTCCAATCGCCAATCAGGATTGGTTTGGACTCAGCATGTCAGCTCCGGATGCTTGGACCTGATCCGGCTCGCATCTCGGTCTAGATCCGGCATGGACCCTATCGTGTTGGGTCCGACCGGTTCAAGTCAACCTGGTATGAAATATATTAAAAAAATATGAAACATATATATTTTGATTACACTTTTTTTAATTTATTTTATTATCATTTTGACTTAGAATAAAACAAATATATTATATAGTATATAGCTTAATGTCTTTCAATTTCTAGACCTAGGTCTGGGTCCATGTAAAGCCGAACCAGGTAGGTTCCAGATCCAGGTCAGGGTCCGATCAACACGAACCCTACCCCACCCGTTGCCACCCCTAACATTCATATCCTATAAATTATAAATATAAGTCATATCTCAAGAATTTGACGTTTGTAAGTTTTTCCAAGTGATCATCTCGAACTCGAACTATGAATAAAAGATTTTAAGTCTTAAAATAATGTATTCCATGACAAATTATCTAGACCTGTCTATTTCCAAAATGGTTATGGACTTGCTCAATTCTTGGAGCTTTAAACTTCGTAATTACTGGTGGCTGAAACAAATTTTCCTGCTATTACAGGGGTCGCTACTGTATGAGCTGCGTGTTTGGGCAGGATCTGGAGGTTCACATTGCATTGCATTGCATTGCTTTGCTTTGCTTTGATTGTTTGAGGTTGAAGCCTTACATATACGGCACCCACCCTTAAGACATGGGAGGTATGGGAGTAAATTTCTGTTACGCTGATACCATGCTCCTGTTCTAGAATGAAAAATTCATTGACCCCCTTGGAAAAATGACTTGGAGAATTTGTTTATATAAAGTTTTGAGATTCGATTTTTTCTATATAAAGTTTTGGGATTTAATTAAGGAGTATGAGAAGAATTCTTTGGTTTTTGTTTTTCCTTGAAAAAAGTATTTTCGAATGCAAAAAACACCTAAAGAAACGGGTTTTAAATACATAATTACCTAGATCTAACTGTTAAAAAATTAGACATCTATTTGTGATCCCTGGACATGATTCAAGCAAACCAGCAGCCCCCCTTTTCTTTTCACAGACCATAAACCAGAAGAGATGGCTGGTAGAGAAAAGGCCATTGGAGCAGGAGGCTCGAACAAGGCGACGTCAAGGAGCAGTAAAGCCGGTTTCCAATTATCAGTGGGTCGAATTGCTCGATTTTTTAAGGCAGGGAAATATGCAGAGAGGAGTTGAGCAGGTTGCTCGGGACTGTCACAATCACCAATGGTGGGGTTCAAAGGCCTCAGGGCGTTTACTCTAAACTAGGGTTGCTTTCTTTTATGAGAGTTTTCTTTTCTGTTGGATCTGTAATGTACATGCCATCGGTTTCTTTAGAATAAAATCTATTAATGGAATATGGGATTTTTTATCTGATTCAAAGAGAGAGAGAGAGAGAAGGGGCTTAGGTAGAGAGAGGAAGCTTGGGCAGAGAGAAGAAGAGCTAGGCTAGGGTTTAGAGAGAGAGAGAGAGCCTAGGTAGAGAGAAAATGACGAAGATTAAAACCTGGTGGCTATAAATTTTTAATTTTATTTTTAGAGTTTTGGTAGGATTTTTATTTTTATTTATTAAGGTTAATTACTAAAAATAAGATTTTTGGATTAAAATTTGGTGGCTACATATTTTTAATTTTATTTTTGTTAATTAATTTTATTTTTAGAGATTGGATAAGATTTTTATTTTTATTTATTAAGATTAATTATTAAAATTTGGAATTTTGATAAAGTGTAATTATAAGAAAAATTAAGTCCCTAGTTGTTTTTTAGAGCCAAATCTAGAGAGTTCGTTGTCGTTTCTATTCTAAGAAATATCTATTTTTGTTAAGCAGCTCAATTGCAATCTGGAGTCATAGAACAAATTGATCTCTGTCCAAAGCTTATCTGGAAAGAAGTTCATATTGTGCGTAAGATCCATTGGCAGTGTTCTGTGGCCTATTATATAATGAACGAACGCTGAGCAAAACCTGACATATGCACAAGTTCAGACATGAATGATATATAAGCAGCTCAATTGCAATCTGCAAATGAACAAGTTGATCTGTGTCCAAATGGAATAAGGAATAGGCCTACAGAAGGACGTGTAGCCCTGCGGAACATGGGAGTCGAGCAGGAAGTCCAACCACTTCCTTGTAACAACACCCAGTAACCTCTCAACTCCGGATGAAACATGATCCCTGCACAATGTGAAAGTTGGGCAGGAAGCCCACTTTCCAATAACCAACTGATAAACCCAAATGAAATACCTCCACTCATAGTCGGATTCAAATAAGAAGCCACCAGCCATTCAGTAATTGTTTCCCTCTCTACCTCAAATTCAAAAATTGAAGGATAAAAACATGATCCCCAGAAAAAAAAAAAAAAAAAAAAAAAGTAAAGTACTTTTTCTTTCATTCATTCAAATCCTTAGTTCACGATCCTAGATAATTGGTGATATCCAAGTACGACCTCAGACAATTTAACAAGGGAAGGCTTTCTTTGTGGGGTGCGGTTTGCATAGAGCTTAGGCTCTAAATAATCAAATTAGAGCCTACCTTCAAATAGTATCAAAAAAACGTGGTTTCAATATCAAAAATCTTTGTGATGACTTTAAAATATATTTTTATATTTATTTATAAAATCTAAGGCTTCAAAAATAGTATAAATCGATAGATCTATGAAAACTTGAAAATCTTGAAAATTGACGGTCCAAAAATGTGTTACAAAATACACTATTTCCAAAACTTGAAATCCTTTTTTTTTCTCATGTCCATGTATCTTGATGTCGAAATGAACAATTTGAAGATATTTGGGCATCAAAATAACCTCTTCTAGTGTAATTTTTGAGGTAGGCTCAAATATGATTGTTTAGAGCCTTCGCTCTATATAAACTTTTCCCTTCTATGTGACCCCGCCCACATATATAGTATATGTGACCCCTAGTCTCAGCGATCAGATCTTAGTTGATGGCTAAGAAGGCTTGAGTCGCAATGTCACAAACTGACTTTTAACTGTTAGATATTGATTGGACGGCTCAAAGTTTTTTATTTTTAATTTTTATTCTATAAATAATTTTAAAACAAAATTGAGACATGCATAGATCTGACAGGGGTGCACATGACAAAAATATTTTTGATAAAAAGTTTACCAGAATATCCCTTAAAATTTCAAGGGCATTTTGGTCATTTAATTTTATAAAACATTTTTTATTTTTTATTTTTCTTAAGTTAACCCTAATTTTATGATGGGACGCCCAAAATTTCATCCCAAAATATTTTATATAAAAAATAAAACAGTGCTTTGTGTGACACTTGGGATATGAACAATTGTAACTGCTCGATTCAAACAGCTATGAAGTAGGGTCACATATAAGTTAAATATTGTTGGGGTCACATAGAAACATTTCCCTTTAACAAAAGAGTATAAATAAAGAGCAGTGAGTAAATGGCAAAGAAACATATGTTCCTCATACTAAATGATGGAAAAGTCTACCGTAAGTTACCAGACTCACAAATCCATCTAAATTTTCCACAGATTTAAGATGCAAAACACAGCTTAAATCACTGAAATACAGTTCAGTTAGAGATCTTGGTGCAGCTCCAACAATGGTGCAGATTTGATATGATATGGGAAGATGTAAAAGGAGCTGACATCCACAGTATCATTACCAACCAAAGATATGAAAACCAACAAAAATAAAGAGAAAACACGTATATCTTCTGAACACCCCCATTGTATGTAGGTAGCCCATTTTTTTATATATCTGTTGTGAACCTATAGGAGGCATAGGAGAGAGAACCATGGGTCCAGCTATGGTGGATGAGTTCAGCCTTGGGGCACTTGCCGGCTGCTCCAAGTGCAACGTGCAGAGGGTAGAAGTGATCAGGCCAAGGATGAGCCAATTTCGCACCTGGTGCCTTCTTCTCATAATGGTTTATATCTTCATATCTACAAAAAATTTCGACAGACCAATATGAAATTTTGACAAAAAGCAAGTATTTATAATAGCATAAGGACTTCTCTCACCACATTACTAAGTTGGTCCGAGTCTCACATTGTCGAAGGATAAGAAAACATAAGTAAAATGAAAAACCTTAATGTTTAGAGAGAAAGGGAGAGGAGAGATTCACTTAGGTTAGCCCATAATTTAACCACAACATTTTTAATGCACTTGAACATGGAGTGGTGAGCTCAGAGTAAGGCGAGAATTGAAATGAACAAGTCTTCATGAGCTCATAGGCACATATGACAGAAGACAGAAATGACTGAAAATGGACTAACAACCCAAACTATGAAAATAAAAGCAAGGCTTCATTTGGATGCACTAATACATTAGGTGGTAATGAATTAGGTGCGTCACCCGATTTTTCACTCTACAATAGCATTGAGAAAAGGGACAGATCCCTATCCCAATAGAATGTAAAACTCCACTTGTTCGTATTGTTTTCATATTCACTCTAATGCAACTGTGGTAAGGCAAACCATATCCTGTTTCGCGGCCGACATAGAATACCACATAAAATGGGCCGGTATGCATTACCGGTGACTCCCTAATGAAGAATAAAATTGAAAGACCGTTAGTGATCCATTCACCAATTTAAGCCTGGCACATGCTGTTGGTCTCATATTTATGTAGAACTGATCCATTCTAGCTCAAGTCCGGATTGACATTGCTATACTCTTGAAACTACTTGATATTTCTGTCCCAACCAATGAGGCCAATAACTATGCCATATCTAGGCTGTCTAAGGCATATGACTTACAAAACCACAATGAGAAATCACACTGTGTAAGTATTGGAAATGGATTTCAATGGCAAAAATTTCATCCAGTCTAAAAGCAAAAGCGGAGACGAGAGGATCTGACTAGACTAGACATGTTGGTATTAACCAAGATGGGTGTATACACTATCAATATCACAAATGGCCTCAAACCCGCTCCTAATCCAAATGAGGTATCAATCAATGTACTGGTGCAGCACAACTTAAATACAAATAAATGGGGCTCCATATTCCAATTTTTAAGTTAAATGGCTCTGTCTTTGAAGAGGATAGTATTCATTAGAAGTCAACCTTGAAAGTCAAGGATTATCCAGAAGGACATCAGTGGATGGGTTGATTCTCAATAAGAAATTGTTGAACTTTCTTCTCCTTTTGATTAGATTTAATCCACTTCACCAAAACAACTGTTCTACACAAAATTGTTCCCAAAATCAGTACTCATGGACCTCACAGTTTTGCTAAAACTTGTTTCTCAGGACCAGGGTGCATTCACCATGCAAAGGTCCATCAGAGACATGATCCAGCTTCTCATGTGCTTGTACATGAAATCAAGCAAAAAGTCCACGAGGGAAAATGGGGTGTTGGTGAAAGATGGTTGTGTAGAATGCAGTACGGATTCAAGAAATAGCATTGGAGCATGGTACTAACAAGGGTAAGTTATTGGAGAGAGATTGATATGTGATACACAGACACATAAACACATGTTTCAAAGTTGTGTAGTTTCTCCAGGTCCTATGTTTTTACTCAAGCAACCATGCCCCCTATAACTTCTCACAAAATACACGAAATATCTATATAGAAATCTTGCAATAATAGTCGAAGAGTTTGTGATCATAGGACTCAAGTTCTCAATTACTTCAAAGCGTGCAACCATGATAAGAAACTAGGCCATATCATGAAACAACACCACCAACACCAACAATCATAGAAAAACATAATGAAGAAGAACTAAATGAAAAAGAAACAGAAATCAAAAACATAAAATAATGATTATAATAATAAACAAAAGAAGAGAGGAAGTTCGTACTTTCCATTGATTAAGGCCTCCTTGAGCCAGGTATCGAAGTCATGGGCCCAGGGAACAGGTTTATCTCCACCCTGTCTCAAGGCCCTCAAGTTATGAGTAGCACTACCTGACCCCATAATCAACACACCTTGGTCCCTTAGTGGGGCCAAAGCTTGGCCCAGTTTATAGTGGTAGGTTCCATCTTTATCTGTTTGGACTGACAATTGGCATACCGGGATATCTGCTTTCGGGTACATGAGCATGAGTGGCACCCACGCTCCGTGGTCCAGGCCGCGGGCCCCGTCCTCCATCACGGTCTTGAAACCGGAGATCTCTAAGAGTTGCTTCACTGACTTTGCCAACATTGGAGAGCCTGGAGCTGGGTATTGGAGCTGGACATTGGAGACCAAAGCGAAACATCAGTTACGGTGATCATGAATTGATTTCGAAAGTGTAGTCTATAGTATAGTCCAATGGACTATGGCAAACATCAGTTCATTGGAATATCACTGTTTGTGGAAGTGGCAGCTTGTGGTGGAAACTGGAGAGAGGCAATGGGACCCACTAATGGGCCCTGTGTTACTCCCACTTTCTCTCCAGCGTTCTCCATCATATCAATGATAGTGTTGACTCATTTCCGTAGTCCAATGGTTATTGTATATCTTAAATGGGAAAATGTTGTATGAGATTGTTTACAAATAGACCAATCATTTTTTGTACATGGAGGTCACAATCATTCTTATCTCTTAAATTTCAAAATGGGTGGTTGTAAGAGTGTTATTGAAAAGACACAAAGTTCCAAAACAAAATATTTTTGGACTTCGTGACTCATCCCAAGCCATCCAATTTGATATCTAATGAGAGAGAATGATCGTGACTTCCATGTATAAAAGATAAATGGTCTATTTGTAGACAATCCCATATAACTAAGCGGACTATGATACATGGCACTCCAAAGGAGCATCCACCTTCATTCTTGATAACAAACCACAGAGATTAACCTTAGTATTGTTCAGAGCATTAACCCAAGTTAATCTCTACACAACATCAATGAGAATGAAGGATAGATGCCCATTAGGAGTAGAACATGCTTTACTCCATAGGAATATGTATGGTTCTCCATTTGAAACACAAAATTTATAGTATACATATGACAATATGACTGTGACAACTTGGGGTATTAAAAAAATTCCAAAAAAATGACAAACTGCAAAAAAAAATCAAATTATGTTATACAACCTTTTCCGACATGATTTAGATGTCTCTAGCAAATATTGGTGAATGTTTCTTACCATAATCACTTTTTTATATTTTTCTTTTTTTGGAACTTTAAAAATATCCCCAACAGCAGATTTGGTTTTTGGTTTCTTTTTTTTTAATCAATGTTTCCTCTGCTTTTATAACCTTGTTTTTAATTTTTTACAGGTGTTTTAGTTTATAATTTACTTTTCTCTGTGTTTATTTGTTTTTCAAAAACAATTTCTTTTTTAAAAAATTCTTTTAATGTCAATACGTCCTATGCTAGACTCAGCCAAGTCTTGAATTACTTAACTCAACAAGGGTTAAGTACTTTGACCGAGTCGATTTTTTATACAATGCATATGAATGACGTTACTTTTTTTGTCGGAACCAAATTTGAAAGGTAAGAGAGCTAAAGTCAACCGCCAACTACCCAAGCGAAAGTCTGATTACTAAATGGTAAACTATTTTGCACATTAAATATTATGTCCATCAACCGTAGACTTGAAACTCTAGAACAACATGTTAAATATTATGTTAAACTATTGAATGTTAAATATTATGTTCATCTGTCTGCCTCTCTCTACAATACAGTAGTCATCACAAACGTAAAACCCTATAAACAACATCAATTATGGAAGAAGACGGATAAGATGAGATAAATGTGTAAAAAGCCTTTTCCTAATAAAACCAAATTCCATGCGTTAAAGCTTTCGTCGAATAACACCGTTCAAAAACAGTTTTCGTTTAATAATATCAAAGGGCAATTCATCCAAATACACTTAAACCATTAACATTTCAGTTAAGGTGTAATTTGGTAAATTTCCATCTGTCAGTTGAAAACTAGATCAAAGTAATTAGATTACTTGAGATTAGATAAAAAAAGATGAGTTAGACATCAAGTAATACAAATCTTAAATGTAATTTTCAATCTGTTATTTGAGATTAGATCAAAATAGGTGGATTACATGAGATAGATCAAAAAATATGAACTAGACATCAAATAATATAAATCTTAAATATAATTTAAAAAGACTTTGTACTAAATTAACCAAAATACACCAAAATAAATATCACAACGGGCAGGCTGATTTGTTGACCCAAATTGTTTACTAATAACAATTGAAGACGCCAGTAGAATGATCTTTGGTTCCACACATCCAATCTCAATTACCCTTCGTTTCTTTTTCTTTTTTTTTTTTGGGGCCAGGACGTCAGACTTGATATGCTAACCAGATGACAGTACCATAAAAAACTATTATTTTTTATATAAAAAAAGAGTAATAATTCAATGGGACCTTTTCACATTTATACGCATAGGACTTTAAAAAATCACCATTAATATTGTCATAAATTTCTAAAAAAATTAAGTCCCACAAATAAAGGACAATTTTTTTTAAAGATCTGTACCAAATACAATTATGATCTTTTTAAATCCTACACAAATAGGGGAGAGTCTAGGATCATTACTCATAAAAAAAAAATACAAAATTCTAAAACATAGTTGCAAATAAAAGAGAGAAAGTACTTCATGCAAAAGGGAACGCATTTCTACAATAGCATCTCATGACGCACTAAACATCCATCTACATGTTGAAAAATGGTTGCCTCGTCTAAGTTTCAAATTGATGGTGCTAGAAATATATCAAAAAATTTTGATTTTTTACTTTAAATTCATTATGGTTATGAAAAAAATAAGGATTTCAAATTCTAAAAAATAATATATATTTTAACAAATTATCTACACCGTCTATCTTGCTCTAAAAATAAGTATTCAAAGATCCACTTCATCGCGGTTTTTTATAAAGCACATGCCTGGTTGAAACTCCATTCAATAATAAAAGTGAAAAATACAATAAATATTTAAAAAGTCTAAAATATTTAAAAAGGTTTATGACCTTCAAATGTGCTTAAAAAGCAAGTTTTATTTATAATAAAACATTTCTTAATGTTGGATTGTAACATGATGATGCAGTCGAGATGATCGCACTCAATTATCTAGAGCGATCGGAACGCGATAGTGAGAAAGAAATAAAAGAGCCCAGGTCTAAGCACCTAGCGATTAAAATAAAAAAAATAAGTTAAAATTAAAATTAAAATATGAGGCTTTAAGATGAGCGGCGTACAGGACCTAAGAAATATTAAATAATATAAATATAAATATATATATATATATATACATAGGGGAGAACTGGACCGACCGGAACCCCTACCATCCCAACCGCCCATTCCTTTACATCGTACGGTGGAGAATTGCTAGCGACCTTTTCTCAACTTAGGAGATAACCAGTCCCCATCTTTACCTACCAATATAACGATGTGAAAATAAATTCAAATAACCCAAAAACAAAGAGCAAAAAAAGAAATAAGAAAAAACCATTGAAAACACAAAAAGGGTGAAAAAACTTAACGATGAAGCAATTTTCATTAATTAACCCATCAAAAGACCCCAGATGATCTCAGAGAAAACCCAACAAAAAACCAGATCAAAATTATGAAAAAAACGGAAAAAAAAAATAGTGGAAAAGGAAAGGGAAGTAGAGAGAGAAAAGCCACACGGTGAATGGATTTGGAAAGGAAAGTAGAGAGAGAAAACCCACCTGGTACATAGGTTGGGGGAATCCATAAAAGTCATGTATGGTCTGATTCCTCTGAACGCAATTCACAGTGGGCACGTCTGTCTCCCAATGGCCTGAGATCACAAGAATTGCCTTTGGCCTCTGAGGTAGTATCTTCTGCTGCCATTGTTGAAGGAATTTTCTTGCAGGGACATCTTCATCAATCGCAAGGGTTGGAGACCCATGCGATATAAAAAATGTGTCCATCTCTCTCTCTCTCTCTCTAGGAAATAACCCTTCAGTTTCTCTCTCTTCTGTTTCTTCCTCGCCCTTAAAAAAGTTCTTTGCTCTCTCTCTCTATCTCTCTCTCTAGAAAAGGCCTCTCCCGCGTCGTAGAACAGGCTAAAAAAAAAGGGTGCCCATTAGACTTCCCCACAATACTAACTGTAATTTCCACAAAAGGCCAAAGACGTTTGTGGTCCTTTTGACTATGGAAATACATCAAGGGAACGCTTTCTATTTTAGGCCTCTTCACTCCCGTGATGGGGATCTTGCGCTTTCATATTGGGTCAAAGCTTCATCAACTTATGCATCGTTTTATAAGAGATAAACCACCTTTTTAGGGTAAGCTTATACACGCCTGAGACATATATTATGTGATATAGAAATTGTGATCGCATCAAATCTAGGTTTCTAGAGGAGTATTTGGAGTCTATATATGGGGATTACGACGATTCGGCTCATCGGCCAGACTATCGTGACTTATTAATGAGTTTCTGCTTAGACTGTGGGTCATGGCATAGACTGGATCGGTTCGATGAAACAAATATGGTAAGTTCGATAAAACAAACATGATATATAGTCTACCGTTGAAGGTGAAGCGTCCCATGATTGTTGATCCTAAACCATATGGATCGTTTTTCCCACCAAATTAATTCAATTATGTGTCCAAACGTGGTATGAGTTCCCTATTTTCGAATCGATTATTTTATGCCATTAGAGTAGAATATTTGTTGTTTGAAGATGGGGACCTCGAACAGAGTCGCCACGACTGTATGCCATTTGGGGATGGAGATCTACTAATCGGAGTTCTAATGGCAAAACATGGTCGGTTTGAAGATGGGAACTTTGCTTTATGCACTGCCCTACTATTGGAAAAAAAATATTAAAAAGAAATTTGAAGGTGGCATTCTCGGGCCAAGGGGGCAATATGGAAAAAAAAAAAATTGAGGGGTGCCCGACACTGCGTAATTTTTTGACACATTAGACTCATTTTGTATTTTATTTACTTTTTCATGTCCATATATAGACTTCTCAATAATAAATTGTTGAGAAGGCCCCAATCGGATACATTAGTCTCATTTTGTATTTTATATACTTTTTCAAGTCCATATATAAACTTCTCGATAATAAAGAGTTGAGAAAGCCCTAATCATAATGTCATGCTTAAATATTATTGTATTTTAATTTTTTGTATAAATTATATTCACCCCAAATTTAGGGCTTCACATTCTCGCGTAGAGTTGTACCTACAAAAAATACTAACAACGAAAAAAATAAAACAGCCTTTAAAAGTTTCAAAGGTAGTTTGGTTGTTTTATTCATGAAAATATTTTTAATATCTTTTGTAGCTACGCTCCATCAGAATGACAAATTTCATGTTTATATGATTCGTAAAAAAATAAAAAATAAAAAATACTCTTAGACGTCAAATTTAGGTCAAATGGTTAAAGGCTCACTTGTGATATTATGGCTGAAACTATCCCGACCATCCATTCATATCAGATGGCTGGGAGAGAGTGGCATATATAACTTCCCTATCAATATAATCATGTGATTTTGTATATTTTCATTGTATAAGATGACTTTCAGCATGCTTTGCCTTCATCTACCATCTGTTTTCTAAAAAGTGAATGAGGATGACCACTTCTTCCTGCTTCAAATCTACCATCATCCATCAAAGCAGTTATCTCCACCCTCCACCGACGAGCACCGATGGTGGATGTTGGGTCTATGTATCACACACTGCATACTCTAAGAAATCCTGCTCTTGCGTTTTCAAGAATAGCGACACTACCCATGCGCAAGGAATTCATGAAAAAACTGCGGATTAAGGTTTGGTGAAAGCCTCGGGAAAAGGAGGTTGGTAGAATTTTATTTATGATTTCCCAATTATTTCACAACCATTTAATGGAACCCATTTTTTAGATGGCCACAAAAAGTACACAAGAATACCTCCTTTTCTTTAGTGTAAGTAGGTTACAATCAGTTTTAATTGTTGATGTAAAATAGGATGATTTGGGGACTACTTTCGAGTCCAATTAAAATTTTCCAGAGCCTTATGACATTTCACATCTAATAGCTTAAAATAAAATAGTTTTATATTATACAATTCTTAATAGGCCACTCGAGTATGATAAACTTCACTCTATTTGCCGTCCATCATCAGATCTTGATTTTATAGGGTTCAGATTAGTCCCCTTCATCTACCATTAGGAATGGAGTTTACTGCATAGGGTTCTAGTAAATTGTGTAATAAGATTAGTCCCCATCATCTACCATTACGAATGGATTTTACTTCAAAGGGTTCTAGTAAATTGTGTAATATAATTCATAGTATTAGAATATTGGAAATGAAAAAAACCTTGGAAGATAATGAATATAGGTAAGATTTTAGGACTAGATGGTATTCCGTTAGAGTTTTGGAAGTGTATGGAGGAGATTGGGATTGACTGGCTAACTAAGTTGCTCAATAAGGTGTTGAAAACAACAGGCAAAGTATTGTTGTACCAATTTACAGGAACAAATGAGACATACAAAATTGTGCCAACTATCGAGGGATCAAATTTATGAGTCACACTATAAAGTTGGATGAGAGAGTGATTGAGCAACGACTAGGAATGAAATGAGTGTATCAGAAAATCAATTCTATTTTATGGCAAAGAAGTCAACAACTGAGGCAAGTTTCCTACTTAGGCAACTGATTAAGAATCTTAGGGTGACGGGAAAAGACATCCAAATGATCTTTTTATTGATCTAGATAAAGTTTATGATTAAGCATTTAGATATTTAATTTGATGGTCGTTGCAAGAAAAGGAGTCCCCAAACACTATATTGACGTGGTGAGAGATATATACAAGGGAGAGCGAACTAGTGGAGAGACGAGTGAATTTTCAATGACAATAGATCTAAATCAGAGGTCAGCATTGTGCACATGCCTCTTTGTCTTAGTTATAGACGACTTAACGAGACACCAACGAGATGAGGTACCATGGTGCATGTTGTTTGTGGATGACATAATTTTGATCAGAAACAACATCAACACAAAGTTAGAACATTGGATGGATGCTCTAGAATCTAGATATTTTAAAATCAGTCAAACTAAGGCATAGTGTACAAAATACAAGTTTAGTAATAATATGAGAAGAGATGAAGGAAGTTGTTAAGATTGACAACCAATAAATACCAAAAAGAGCGCACTTTCGCTATCTTAGATTGATAATCCAATAAAATTGAAATATTGATGAAGATCTCACACATAGAACTATACCTGGGTAGGCAAAGTAGAAATGTGCAACTGAAGTTTTATATAATCATCATATACCAATGAAGCTGAAGGGAAAATTCTATAAGACAGCAGTGAAACTAATTTTACTTTATGGGGCAAAATGGGCTGTAAGAAATAATAACATACCCATAGAATGTGTAGCTGAGATGAAGAGGTGGAGATGGAAGAGTTATTAAACAAAAAATGATATGATTCAAAATGAATTCATTTGTGAAAATTTATGTATACCACCTAGACGATAAGATGAAAGAAAGTAGATTTAGGTGGGCTAACCATCTGTGACATAGACCCAATGCAATACTTGTTATGAGGTACAAGTTAGTTCAAGTGGAAGGCTCAAATGGGGAATGGGTAGACCCAAAAAGGCATGGTTGGAAGTAGTGAGAAAAGATATGAAAACTTATCGCCACACTGAGAGTATGACACTTAATAGAGCAGAATGAAGGGCCAAGATTCGTGTAACCAACCCTAATTAGTTGAAAAAAAACTTTGATGATGACGCTGATGAATTCCTAATCTTGTGACCTTTGAAAATTGGGTTGAGGCACCGGTGGTAAGGGTGTTGATACCTCAACATAACAACGCGCCCTTCATTCCCACCATTAACCTATCCCAAAAATAAAAAATTTCCGAAACTCCTGATATACTGACTGCAAGGAGCCCTGCCGTCTATTCCAGACAGCAAACCGTAGAGGATAGCAGTAGTAGGCCCACAATATATTCACCTAGCTACAGTCCATTAACAAATGACAGTAGTTGGTTTTTATTTTGAAAAGTATACAATGATCCATATGATATCAGTAAGAGTAAAGTAAACATGTCACAGATTAAATTGTCCCTCTCACCATCTATCGCTCATAATGTTACAATGGTCATATGGATTATAGAGTTCTTTCGTTTGTGTTCGAGGTGTTTTAATTATCCCTTAACCATAGTATATGTATTTGTGGGCAAATGGGGTAGGAAATTTATCTAAAATATGGGTGGAGCGTCGGTGCATTTGGGAATCAGGACAATACCAAGTCCAATCCCCCATATGCCATCTTGGAGATGAAAATTGGATTCAGGTATATCTAGCTCGCAACGATCATGAATTTAAAAAGAAGAAAGCGCCATTCGAAATAATCAATTTCGTACTTTGTCCGGACAATTTATTTTTAATTCTTTAAAGCTTATCAGATCTTCAATGTCTTGGGAGCCCAAAATTCATGGTTCTAAGATATGTATACAGTACTATGGAATGTGTTTCAGGTTCTAAATCTCTGGAAAAACCGAGATGGGCAGACGAGTGAACCGACTCATCAAACACTTTCCCCTCACATAACTTCAGTCAGCCTAAAACGTAGCAATACATTAAGAAAAAAGAGAAAAACACCCACATGTTCACTATCAACATTAGCATAAGATCAAGAGACATATCCTCACCCATCCATTTGTAAACCCTTATCTACGCATGTATACAGAACACATTGATCATGAGCACCAACAGTAAAAATCATAAGGATCAACTACTTTCTTTCAAATCTGGAGAGAGGTGATAAGCAGTTGCCGGATGCTCCTGACCAGAGTCTGGCACTGAACCGGCCAAGTGAACCCAGCCCCACCACAAATATATACACAGTACTATATACTATAATATGCATAAAATATTTTATATATTTATTATCTGGTCTGCCCTCAACCCTGCTGTATCCGGCGCTATATATAAGCGTTACAACTATGTGATACATGTAGTTTGGATGCACAAACCTGCTTCATAATATAAAGGGACTGAGGGCACAGGGCAAACACCAAATGCAAGGTGAGGGGAGGGGTCCTCTAAAAACCGACTTACGCCCTTCCAACAAAATAAACAAGTACAGTTTTCGATTAAATATGACGAGAATTTAATACATCGAACTCGAAAGTGTTACAAGAGAATTAAGCCCGAAGACGGCACCATCTTGGGCTGTTAAGCAAACGCATAAATAGATTTACAAATATCTTACTTCCTGCTCTTCCCAAAAATAGAGGAATTTCCCCCCCTTTGCCCCAAAACTTTTGTGTGGTGGATGGGTGGGGTGTGGGTGTGGGTTGTGGGTGTGGGTGTGGGTGTGGGTGTGGGTGTGGGTGTGGGACTCTGTGTGTGTGTGTGTGTGTGTGTGTGTGAGAGAGAGAGAGAGAGAGAGAGAGAACACACTTTGATGCAGCCTCAAAAAAATTTGAGGGATTTCCCTCAAAACCAACCAGCCGAGAGAGAGAGATTACAACTCTGCCATTGACTCCCTATCTTCTTCTGCATAGTCAGTAGCAATGGCCTCAGTTCGAGGACCAGACACAGGTTCAGATGGTGTTTCAGTTTCTTCGCCAAGAATCTTTGCCGTAAATGCTCTTGCCTCACCATCTAGATCCACCCACTCTGAAATAATTCTCCGAGCACCCTACAAGAAACCACCGTTACTTGTTAACTGATCTTGGTACACAGTACACAAGTGGTGGTGACACACAAGGGGTGCATCCACCACCTGTTCCGAACAATGTAAGGTGGAGATTAACAGCAACAGGATAAACGACCATCATCAGGATCCACAGTTTATCCCCACCATTCGTCATGATAATTGTGGATGTCCACATGTTGTACAATATATTATACACCAGTGGTGTATGTTCTCCCCTTACTGGAAACCAAGGAAGAAAGAACCTAGTAACATTACAAAAAGAACAAGGAGCTACAAGAGAGAAATTACCTGAAGTTTTGGCTCCTTTGTCATGGGATTGTTGCAGAGGTCAATGGTCTTTGCTTTTGACTTTGTGCTATTTCCACACCAAGATTCGCACCAAAGCCATTCTTGTGGGAGAGAGAAAATCGGGACATTGTGTTGCGCATAGTTGGGAAGGTCCTGTAAGTAAAGCAAAAAGCAAAAATTTGTATGGAAAGAAACAGTGCCAAAGAAATACTAGGAAACAGCTAAAAAGGCAGTCATAAGAAACGAGATACAGATGCCAATGGTAATAAGAAAAAACTTAAGAATATCACATACACTGAACATCAGATACCTAGTAAATATACTTTTTTTAATCCACCAAAGAAAACAATACAATTCAGAACATGAGATTTGATTGGAAGTGGAAATGGAAATGCAAATGAAAACATGAAAAGAGAAAGGCACGATACATGCTCATGTTCGATTATTAAGAAAGGCAAAACACATAAAAAAAGCCAAAACTAAATAGCAAAGCATACCTGATCAAGATTAGAGAGACTATTAGGGTCCTTGCTAAGAGTCTCATAAAATACCCTCAGGTGATCTCCAGCAGCAGTTTGTCGGAATCTCAGCAAATCAACAACATACAAGGCACTGCAAAAGCATGGAATATCATTAGAAAGGTGCAAACTCATTGATAAAATGTCACTCAGAAGCCACCTGTGGTTCGGATTAGTGTACAGTTTTAAATTTAGAATTAGTTTCGGAAAAGCCAATTATATAATTCAAGGTTCACTGCTGAAATTTCGCCAAGTTCTTTTTAAATTAAAGTACCATCCCATGAAATAGGAAATGAGGCTAAAGTTGGTATCTTCATTCAATGACGAAGTTTTTTCTCTATCAGTAATTCAACAAAGTTTGGAGCCAATGAAAGAAACAACAAATCATAGAAAAGGAACAACAAAGGAAAATCTCCTCAACCGAGCCAAACTCATCAGATTTAAACCAAACTCTGCCTGTTAAACTATAGCCTCATTTAATATTTGCAACCGCTGGTAGTGTCTTTAGCCAAACTTTCATCAAGAGCAGGAAAAAACATAAAATAAACAAGGATCAGGATTTTCAAAAGTAAAGATGATTGCACCATATGGTACCTGATATGATATGGCTTTCCCCGTAAGTGATCCCTCCAGAAACCCTTTTAGAACAAACAGAAACAGTAAGTTCAGAGAACCGAAAACTTTTTAACTCACAAAAAGCACTATAATAGCAGTGCCTCTTCAGAGTTTTCTCACAAAAGAAAAAATATTTTTCATGAGCTGGAGGTAGTGAACCTGTCTCCAGAATCTATAACCATCCATATCCTTATTGTTGTCGCAGAAAGGTGTATAAGCAAGGGGCCTTCCTTTTATATCCATATCATACAGTTCTCCCATATCTGCCCTTACAACCTGATCTGCATCAACAAATATCACCTGCAGCAAAAATGATGCACCATAAAAATCACTTTAAACAATATGTATAAGTGGATAAGACGCATATATCAAAAATGTCACTTGAAATGCATAAATAAAAGTTGAGAAAGGAAATAGTAAAGATCACCATACCTTTTCCAAAGAAAGAGGGAAAATAACATCGAGAAACAAAATTTTATAAGCCCAGATAATCCGTTGCTTTTCTGTTTGTTTATGTAACCATGTGGGCCACTTATAGGTGATCAGTTCATACTCGAATCCATAGTGTTCTGCCATATGTGGTATAACATCCTGCACACAGGATAACAACATGATCCTTTGGAAACTCGAGAGACCACTCCATGACAGTAAAAAAATGAATAATAGAAGAGGGGAAATCCACCTTAAACTGAGGAGAGAGATAGTTCTTTATAAACCAAAACTTAACAGGTCGATTGGTGTTCTTGAGAACACTCAATATCATGATCTTAAGAAAACGCTCATATCTGCACCAAAGAGACTATATTTAATATGAGGACATCTTAAATACCAAGATTTGATATTTGAACCATGCATGTGTTGAGACAAACACGTAGCAAGTCAATCAAGCTGATAAAATAATTATTGAAAATAAAATGGAAATATTCAGTTACTTTCTCTAATACGATATTTGGACTTCAAGAAGGTCAAACCATGCATGCAGAGAAACCACCAATTGAAGAACTTGAAATGCACAATAATGATCTCCAAATTGGATTTGAGTTGTTTAAGAAGGATCGTCACTTGGGTTAGAAAATATTTCAGAAACTCCAAAGTCATTTTCAGATAACAAAAGATTTTGTAGGAGCACCGTCGTGGGGACTTGATAATAGAACACGCATAATTTGCTTTACTGTTTCATATATCAGTCGAATGAGCCTGAATTCAATTTGTATATGCCTAAAAGGGAGGTTCACACATGAGCTGGTAACACAGGCTAGGTGTTAAGTGTGTCCGAACTCAGAGGTCAGACCTCAGACCTCAGCTTCAATCATTAACAACACCCAATACACGTATAGAGAAATATTCAATCTCTGTTTGGGCAGCCAAACAACTCCAGTAAGGAAGGGAATAATTTTGAAATAAGTGAAAAACAAGCCTTTTTTTATGCCAAGAACATTTATGTATGAAGCAAACGTCAAAGCCCAGAACCTTAGGAAAGCCAAGAGATGGGAACTCAACCTTTTGAGTCTCAAACATGCTAAGAGAAGCACAACTAGGGTCATCAAAGACCCAAAATACGATAAACCTGTCATATTTTCCTTATGTTACAGAAAACACTTACATGACGTCTAATGGCCTCAAGTCAATATTCTGTGGTATTCCATTAAACACATGAATAGAAGAAGTGTGGTGCATGCATATTCTGAAAGGAGGAAATAGGTTTCCAACGTTTGCATCATAGAGGATATGAAACTCAGTCATCTAGTAGGTGCCAGCTCTTGAACATTTTACAAGTTTTAGGGCTCACGACTTCCTGGGAGACTAGGGGTGGTGTTATCAAATGCAGTCTCTTTTCAGATGTAGGCTAATATGGGAACCCCCACTAGCCGATATATTTAAGTGAAATCTTGATGGTAGCTCCTAATGTAAGCTGGGTTTAAATAGATGCCAAAAATTGTAACCATTTTTTTTTGGGATAATGAGATCAATAATTTCAACCCCAGTGAGTTCCTGTTATTTTACAATGGCAAAGAGTTTGGTACTCCTCGTGGTTCTAAAGGAGGTTTCTTCAGCCACAAAAGGAGAACCCCTAGATGTCATTAGATGGATCAGTCCCCAGATCCTCTACCAATAGACCGTTGGAGGAGATCCTTAATTCAACAGGAAATTGAGAACTTTTGCACCCGACATGTTCACAGAGAGAGAGAGAGAGAGGCTAATCTTTTAACTGAACTGGAGTGTATACGGATTTGGATCTCATAGCTAAGGAGTTAAAACCCACCCACTAGTCCTTGATGTTAACATCTCCTCTAGTATTTCGTTATTAGGAGGTTCATATCATGAACTTGTCCAAGTCAAACTCTTCTTGTTGCGGGGGTAGGATATATAATTTTATAAGAAACTAGTGGCATTTTACTAATGCTTATGAAGCAATCATTAATATCAAATAAATAAAAAATCTCCTCTAGTCTTTGTACCTCTGCTTTTCTTTATTTATTTCTACCTAGTTTTCTTCACGTGAGACATTGCATTATGTTTCTGCTTGTCTGTATATCTAGTTCCAAAAAGTGCCATAATGGGCATTTTAATGCCCAAAAAAAAAAAAACCCCATAAAATGAAATCATGAAAAATAGCACATTTAGCATACTCCTGCAGAAGCACACTATATCCTCAGACCAAGACCTACTTACGAGGTAATTGATCTGGAATCATAGGATCCACTTTAGAAACACCAGATCAGTATTCCCACAAAAGAAAACTGGATACTAAGTTCCTAAAAACTTAGGTCGGACCATCCAAAACTTGCAAGAACACTGTTCAATTCTCAGATGCTTCTTTTCAGGTAAATGTAGAGTCAGTATGATTTTCCCTTTTTTTATTTACATGTTTGTTGTTAGGTTGAGGGGGTTACATCCCAAAACTTGGGTTGCCAAAAATACTCTTAAGAGAGGGGCAAATATGCTCCAAGGGGAGTATATAATATTTTGGCAATGGGGAAAAAGGGAAAAAAATAGGAAAATAGTTCCTAGGGATAGAGGTAATGACACTTTTTTATGCAATGACAAGTTGATCCAATATAAAATCCACTGTGCAAAACTTTTGTCACGCCTACCAGTTGATGTTACATAGACTATCCAAGTAAAAGGTTCTCACAACTGCCTTAAATAACTCAATATGCCAGACACCTCTGATATCAGTAGCAAGCCGAAAAAAGCATGGCCAAAGAGCCCATGATCAATAGGTGGTTTAAAACGTTATGTAGATTATATATTTCAACAAGCATGGCAGAGATATTCCTCATTATTCCGTGCTTTTATATGCACCTGTGCCTGTTTGGATAAAGAATGGCCTGTTATATTTCAAGGTCTTGCAACCGACTTAAAATTTCTCCCATTGAAATAAGTTGGTTACAAAAAATATCCTTGTGTATATTTTTCTCTTTTTTGGTATTTGTTAAATAATATTTTCAACAAAATAGAACAAGTTATGGAACAAAGTGGAAGCTTCTTGCACTTACAGGTGTCCAGAAGCAACTGAAAAAATATTAACTTGTTTCCCACGTCTCCCAATCTTTCCATACTCCTGTGCAAAATAGCAGCATATCACCAAGGATTTAAAATTCCAAGAGAAGAATGCCAATCTTAAAACAGATAAAATACCAAACAGGAAAAAGTTGCATTTGTAAAGCAGACAGATAGACAGATCATAGGTATATATATATATCTCGTTTAGTAGCAATGTATGCATTATTGCATTATACATCCAGAGAAACATATACAAAGGACATCCACATCAATTCTAACAGCCAGATGGGCCCAAAAGAACTATCTCGATGAACTTTCAGCAAAGCGCTATTTCTTGAACAATGAAGAAAAAGGTGCAAGAGAATTATTATAATCCCATGCACTAAAACCTACCTACCTAGAACCCCCAATCCAACAAGCACATCAACAACTTTCAGTGCCTTCCACATTAAATATTGGAATTAGAACTCCGTAATGTCTGCAATTTCAATTTCTTACAGTATGTCCTCAAACCTCCAAAGAAACGGGGCAGACCCACTAAACCAAATGAGCACATAGATCACCTTCCATACTTAAGGAGCCAGAGAAAGATGATAAATAAATCTCAAGTCCACTTAAGGGTGCTCTTGGGTCCAAGTTCATGAACTGCATCACCCTTACTGAGGCCACACAAATCTAGTTAAGCTATCGAACCCACTCTCCTATGCTCCACTAGAACGACATTGTGGCCTTTTTTGACTTCAAAACTTACACAGGGAGCCAAAAGAACGACGTAAATTCAGATATGCATTATTAACAAAGACATCATAAGGACAGTTATGCATCTCACAAGGGAAGAAATCAGCTTCCCAAGGGGCTAGCCTCCATTAAAAACTCAGAACTGTTAGTTCCTACAAAACCTTCTGAAGCTTCCCCACATGGAGGGGACCAGCACAGGCACCTCAAATCTAGTGACAATTATCTCAGCCTAATTAATTTTATCTTTATTTTTATCATGATAACTTTCAACAGCGATAATTACTGCTAAAATCCATTTCAACAATAAAAGACTTTCCTCATAATAACATGTATGCAAATTGAAAGCAAAATTTTAAAATATGAATTTGAGAAGAAACATGTCATTTACATGAAAATAGCTCTAAAATCTCAATCAGGTCATTGGGGTGCAATAGGCAATGAATTAATAATGGATATTCATGTTAAAGCTATTAAGTTCATAGTGGTTTTTGACAATTCAATTTTGATCATTTATAAAAATCTTAAACATATCTAATTGTGCATAATTTGAATCAGTATTTAGTAATTTAATAAAAATTCCTTAATAAATAATGTATTAAACTAAATATATAGCAGTCCCTGAAAAGATCCAATACATTTTCAATTAAAAAAACTTTGGAGGGATGTCATAGAATCTAAAGGTTTTAAAATTAGCCGGACTACAAAAGAGTATATAAAATGCAAGTTTAAATAATAGCAATAGTAGAGATGCGGAAGTAGTTAAGAATGACAGCCAAGAAATATCAAAAAGTGTGCGCTTTCGATATCCTGGATAATCTAGGAAAATGGAGAGATCGAGAAAGATGTCACACATAGAATTAGAGCTGAGTGGGCGAAGTGGAGATGTTGAACCGGAGTTTTACGTGATCGCAGAATACCAATGAAGCTTAAGGGCAAATTCTATAGAGCAGTTGCGAGACCAGCTTTGCGGGGTAGAATGTTGGGTAGTGAAGATGCAACAGACCCATTGGAGTGTAGCTAAGATGAGGATGTGGAGATGGATGAGTGACAGGACAAGAAGGGATAGGATTCAACCTGAATACATTCTGAAGAATTTAAGTGTGGCACCAATACACGATAAAATGTGAAAAAATAAACTTAGGTGGGCTGGCTATGTGCAGCATACCCAGTATAGCACCTATTAGGATGTGCGAGTTAGTTCAAGCAGAAGGCTCAAAAAGGGCAAGGGGTAGGACCAAAAAGACATGGTTGAAAGTAGTGAGAAAAGATATGGGGACTTATGGCATCACTGAGGGAATGACTCTTGAGAGAGCAGAATGGCAAACCAGGATTTGTGTAGCCGACCCTAAATAGTTTGGGAAAAGGATCTGATGATGACATTTCCAATAAAAAAAAGTAAAATCACAATAATATCCCAATAAAATTCCCCGATGATGATATCCCGATAACAATAATTGTCACCGAGTTCCAATGATAACATTAAGGTATAAAGCTTCTCAACCTACAATATCAAAGAGTTACAGAGCATCCATGCATCACTGAACACTGAACTGAAGAGGGAAACCAGTTACATATCCAAAGTCATTGACAAACCCTCAAGCAATTCCCATTTACAGTCCGCCCCCAATCATTGAAAGCTTTTTTATGACAACATAAAAGCGGGGCCAAGCAGTTCTTCATATCCATGGAAACATAATATATAAACTTAAGTCAATCAGCATGGTTGCACTGAAGGAGCCCATTTACAACAATATACAATACACAAATGATGTCTGAAGGTAATCTAAGAACGCAGCAGTAATGATGCAGGACATGCCTAAAGGACATCATGGTGTTTTCAACATATTATATCATTGATCTTATCAAATTGGATATTGGATCCATTATTATATTAGTGATAACCTTTTTATTGATACAAGAACAAAAAACTTCAACCTCCCTCCTAGCCTATGAAACATCTAAAACTCACTGAATGAATAATCCCTTTCACCCTCTCATAATTAAAACTCCTGTGAAGTAATAATACCGTCACGGTTGGAGCAGGAAAAGAGAAATCTAGTATCTACCTCCACATGAGCTGCTTGCTTCTTTGATTGCTCATTACCACCAATCAAACCAGATGCCCATCTAAGTATATTCATGTTCCAAGTGTTCAAATTGCCCTGCCAAAAAAGATATATATGAAGCCAATGGGAGCTGTGTAACTCCTTTGACTTTTATTACACCACCAAGAAGTCCACTCTCACAGGAAAGGAAATACTTGGTTACCTTATTTTCATGCATATGATTTTTGTCATCAACATTTGCCAATAACTGCTCATGTTCCTTTCCTTTCTTTTTCACAACTTCCATATAAACCACCTTACCCCGCAACTCATCTATTGTAATTTTTTTTGACATACTTCCTTCTCCATGTCCTTTGAACATGTATAGATCAGAGCTTCTGCCTGGAGCAAGCTGCAGGTACCAAACCCCAGGAGAGACTTTCAATTGCCAGTATCCCAAATTGGCCATAACAAGGGTATCAACCAAGTGTGGCACACTCTTGGTTCCAAGGATCAACTGAAGGCCTCGGGGAGGTTCATGATCTTTTTCAGAGCAATGACCTGCCCAAGACCAAAATTTCATTAAGAAAGAACCAAAAGAACACCCCTAAGTTTGAGACACTAATTCAAGACAATAAAAAATATATATATCTAATACAAAAATCATTGAAGAGCAACAGGTTCATTCTTAAGAAATTACCCCATACCTGTAAGAACGAATGCTTCCAGCTCAAACACAGCTTGTAGAGTTCTCACATCTCCAAGGTTTTCAAGCAATATGTTATCAAGGTCGTGGCTACAAAAGCACAAAGCAATAGCAAAACACCTTAGTCATAAATCAACAACAGGACACAAAGTCACATACAGCTAAAAGCACTAATATCAAAAGAGTTTTTTTTTTCTTAGTAATAAAATCCCAATAGTAATGTCTCACAAGTCACAAAAAATTTACACTGCAATAACAGGCTCAACAAGCCATGGTTCCGGGACATCAAGATTCATGGTAAGAGTTTTGGACAGTGGCATATTGGCAAAGAAAGCTTTGGGGCCATTGATTGAATAATCGGCAGAACTGAAGTCATCCTGAAATCAAATGATTCAATGACAGGTTTTAATAACCTTGCACCTGACAGAAATTAAGTATAAAAAACAAAAACAACGACAACAATACCATGGATGGAACTACAAATCTGTAATAATTCTTCAGAGGTAGGTCAACCAGAGAACTCTGTGCAGAAAAGAAGATAAAGGTTAAGAGGTTCACGTCCAAATGAATGCACAGCATCTACACATAAATCGCTACAACAAAGCCACTTCCAGATTTACATGATTAACAGACGTTTAAGGAATACAGCCAATAATTAATTTATGCTATGAGGTATGTTTCAAACAGAAAAATATACATATGGGTACACGTCGCAGAAGTCCCCAAGATTGATACCCTCACGGGGCTTGCACTAAAGGAAAAGGTTCTGGCCATAACCATCAGCTGTATCCAGTTCTAGTATCCACATCCATTGTTCTCATTCTTCGCAACATCCATTGTTTTCATGCTACGCATATTTAGTAGTTACATAAATGACAATTTTGGGTCACAAACATCAGCAACACAATTCCTAATTACCCTTTTGGCAAAGTTCCAAACAAATAAACGAAGTCCTAAAATAAACACACTGAGGAGCACTTTCCTAAAATAAACACACTGAGGAGCACTTTCAATGGAAATAATATTTCTTATAATTTCCCAAAGGAGAAAATAATATAAGAATATTAGTAGACTTTCCAAATAAACTAAAAATAGAGGAACTCACCAAAGGATTAAGTACAATCCTCATACTTGGGCGAATGCATTTCCAAAGAATGCGAAGAAGGGAAGATAGCTTTTGACCAAGTGGACTTAAAGGATCAATCACCGCATCAATATGTATACTGGAATTTTCATTGTTCAATATAACAGCACTGTCCAAAGAGCGAAAGTTAATTCATACAAAAACACAATGACACGTTAAATTTAACAAAATGTATCAACAAGTAAAATATTGAACAACAAAAATGTGAACAAAGAACTAGGGAACATAACTGTTTGCAATGTAAACAAGCAAGCATAGCCTGTATCCCAAACTCGAAAACTAAAACAAGGGTAACCAATACCAATAGGTCCATCCACACAATCAATTCCAGGCACGCACGCATGTCGCGAATATTTATGCACAAACGCATGCGCGTACGCGCGCACACACACATGGACACACACATCCACATTGAACCTCCAAATCATTGAACCAAACCCAAATTGATATCCAAAAGTTTAGACTCAAACATCAGGAAGCCGATGGTAAAGTGGCCTCTCATGTTACTTTACAGTGCAGAGAGAAAAAATAGAAATCAACCTAAATGGAGTGTGAAAAAAACAACCCTCAAAAGAAGACATAAAGATGAATAAAATCAATACAGATCAAAATTGCAAGTACTAGGCCCCCAAAAGTTAAAATAGTCTATATATTGTTGCACACCTGTATTTGGCATTTAGAATTTCAAATCGTGCTACATCAGGACTTCGTGAACGGAGGGCCATAGAAGATGAAATCAGCATAACAAGATCACTGAGAAACTTGCTGCAAACCACAACGAAAATAAGAGGTAAGAGAATTGAAGGACTACATGGATACTATAAATAACGACCCATATATTAAATTCATCAAATATAGAATAAATAGTGAACAGTTTCAAAAACAAACACTACAGAATAAATGTAAAGTAGATTGATGTGAATAATTACAGAACATTAATTCTCATACTGTGATAGGGGAAGAAAGTTAAACTAAAACAAGAGTATGTGAAACACAAAATTTAAAAAGAACACTCAGAAGGTATATTAAAGAAATCAGAATTGTCAGCTCCAACGAGTCAGCCAAGCTATAGGACTAGATCTGCTTAGGTGACAGAAGCAGCAAACTATCCAATCATTATATCGCATATATCTAGCTATGGTCAAATAAACAAAAGAATAATATAAAATATACTCACAAAATGTAGAGTATGAATATAAGCAGCTAGTAATCACAGAAAAGCCTTTTTAAGGGAAAACAGTAGAAGAGTAACGAAAATGAAAATGAATTCTACTATAGTTCAGCTAACATGAGTTCCAAAAATATCCACCATCGAACTTTTGCAATGCACATCTCTATTATTGTCATAACTCATAACAATCTCAAGATGGTAAAAAATGCATAAAAAAATCAGTTTTCTAAAACATAAAATCTCCAAAACTTTGGGATTAAGGACTAGGTTTGTGTTAGTAATCCTCAAAATACGAGAGAATATTTACATACATCCAAAGTATTTACTCCTAAAGTTGGATAAAGAACTCAATTAAGGCAGCATTTCATATTTCAGATGACATTTCTTCAGATGATGTTTCTTATTATATATTTCCAATTAAATTATTACATGTATTTATTATATAGGAAGAGATAGAGTTTGAATGGATTAGGAAGTAGGTTACTCTAAACTCCACTTTTGTGGAGTCCCCTCAATAAGTCCATACTCTAAGAGTCTCCCTCTCCATAGAGGGCTTACTCTCATTAATTGCCATATGTCTCTGCCCGTAACTGTGGCTCCATAGATATACTAGTAGCATGCATCTGCTTGGCAGGTCTCAGTGAAAGGTTATACAAAATGTAAGATCGATATCAATATATAATAAAAGAAAGAATATGAGACAATATAACAATTCCTCACTCTTTATGCTAGGTGCTTGAAGCAGGTCTTTTTAATAAGTTATATATATGTAATATAAGAAAATATAAAGATTTTCCCCCCCTTATGTTAGGTGATAGAATGATAAAACTTTTTCACAAAAATGAGAAGATTGAGTAGAGATTGTGAGAAATTTCTTCTGTATGTATTGTAGTCCCATTACTGAATAGTGAATTGTAAAACCATATGTTCAATTAAAAATTTTGACCAATCAATCATACAATCAAATGCATCAAAAAGTATTTCTAATTTCAATTACAAAAACAAAAAACAGGTTTCACACTCCTATTAACATATGGAGAGAGAAAGCAGTGAACAAATAGATTAAATGGTGATTGAATGAAAGAAAATCCAAGTATTTGCGAAACACACACACACGCACGGTACCTATGGATGAAAAACGTAGTTAAGAAGAAACTTTCCTTTACAGATCACTTACTCATCAATAAATTACAGGCATAAACTTTTCAAATATAGCATAGTTATATAGCATACCATTTGACAATGGAACCACATGCCAAATTATATGGGGAGAAAAATCAATATCCGGGGGTTCACAGTTATCGGCACGGTACCGGGACTCGCTATGTTACATGGATTCTTCGACAAGGGTCCCGTACCAGTGTCGGACACTTATGGACACGCATACCGCTATAGATTCTTCAAGTTCACGAATACTAAAAAAAACTTGTTATTTTTGCTATCAGTCACATAATAGAATTAAAATTTATTTAATTCTAGCCATGCATTCATTAACGAGCACTAGACTCATTCTTTTTTCAATGAATTGAGAAAATAACTTGCCATTTCTTTTTCATACTCTGCAATCAATAACAAATATATATATATATATATATATAGGAAAAAGTTTTATATAGAGCCGAGGTTCTAAACAATTAAATTAGACCCCACCTCAAAACTTTCACTAGTAGATGTTGTTTTGATGCCCAAATATCCTCAAATTGATCATCTCGACCTCAAGATATATAGATATGAGAAAAAAATGGATTTCAAGTTTTGGAAATAGTGCATCTTGTAATGCATTTTTGGACAGTCAATTTTCAAGATTTTCAAGCTTTCACAAATCTGCCCGATCTACACTATTTTGAAGCTTTAAATTTTATAATTAGAGAGGAAAATATATTTTACGGCTGACACAAAGATTTTCAGTATTGTAACCATGCAACATAGGGGACTCGACTAAGCCAAGGTCACTGAATCCTACTTTTTGGACCGTCAATATATATATAGCCATGTCACTGAATCCTACTTTTTGGGGCTCGAAGAATCAAGCACCCCATATCCGTGCCATACACTAACACGCATACCCCGTATCCATGCAACATAGGGGACTTGACTCAGCCAAGGTTCTTGTCTATTGACCGAATCAAGTTACTCAGGTGAATCCAAGTAACTAGCCAAAGTCAAAATAAAAATAAAAATAATAAATAATAAATAGATATATATATATATATATATATATATATAGAGAGAGAGAGAGAGAGACAAACATACTTATTTCAAGCATTAAGGCTCGAATGGGGCACCACCTAGAAGATGTGAGTCCTCGGCAAGAGGTTGAGGGATTGATTCGTGCCCATGGATACTATTTTTTAACCCCATAATGACCCCTTTAGTATTTCTTAATTAACCCCATAATGACCCTTACTTCTCTCTATATATAAACATAATTATTTCGAGCATTAAGGCTCAAATGGGGACACCAGATAGATTATGTGGGCCCTCAGCAAGAGGTTGAGGGATCAATTCATGCCAAGAGACTTCTTTGAACCCCATAATGACTCCTTCAGTATTTTTTAATTAAACCTGTAATGACCATTATTTTAATGACCCCTTGCTTTTCAATTAAAAAAAAAAAAGAGATGAATAGGATGGCATCCGAGGGGATTTGAACCTTGAACATGAGGCCTTTGAACCTTGAATGTTTTGAATGGGCCTCTGGGTTCAAAGATAATTTGCACAAAACTATGATGATTGGGGTAGCCGTGGAGCCCCAAATCATCCAACTGTTGGCTGATAGATGCAGCTGCCTGCCGGAAAGCCTCCCCACAACCTATCAAGGTCTGCCGTTATGCCTCGGAAAGCCAAAGCAGAGCCTTTGGGCCCACCTTCTAGACAAGTTTGAAAGAAAATTCACCACCTGGAAGGGTTGCCTTCTCTCCCCGGCAGGCAGAGCCACCCTCATCAAGGCCATCCTCTCTAATGTACCAATCTACCACATGTCGATCTTCCAAATGTCGGCTTCCAAATGCCGGCTTAAGTGCGCTCCCATCTCGAACAACTGATACGCAATTTCTGTGGGCCAGTGACAACAATAGGCACAGATTTCACCTGGTCTCTTGGGAGAAAATCTGTCAATCACGCCACCTTGGTGGCCTGGGGTCCCGTAATCTCGGAAAAGCTAACCAAGCACTGCTGGGTAAGTGGTGGTGTTGCTACGCCACACAAGGACACCTTTGGAAGCAGGTCATCGCCTCCAAATACCATCTTAACCAGTTGCCATGGTTGCCTGAGTGTCAGGCTGGCAGCAGAGAGTCCAGCATTTGGAAGTCCATCACCAAAGTCCTTAAGCTATTCAAAAGTAACATCAGATTCCACCCCAGAAAAGGTAATAGAATTAGGTTTTGGCTTGATCCTTGGGTAACCCAAACCCCATTGAAAGACCTTCTCCCAGCCCTATACCTCTAACACCAAACCAGCAATCAACAGTACATCTCTTCCCTCCCCAAGAAACTATTCTTGCCGACCCTGTATTTCAGGAACTCCTTGACCTTTCCACCCTCCTAAGCTCCCTCTTCCTCTCCCCATCTGGTGAAGATAAGATCATATGGTGCCCATCCCCCTCCGGCAACTTCACCATAGCCTCTTTCCACCAGAAACTCATCGAACCACCCACTTTCCCTCATGTGCCCCCATCTATAGTGGCCAAAACGTGGAAATCCATTGCGCCACCCAAAATCCAATTCTTCTCGTGGCTGGCCATCTCACAGAAAGCGTTAACGGTAGATCAATTGCAGTGAAGAGGCACAAATAGGTGCATGCTATGTCAAAAAGCTGAAGAAACCAATCCCCACTTGTTCATACATTGTCCGACAGATCCCTTTGGGATGCCCTGCTACAACTGTTTCAATGGCAATGGGCAACCCCCAGAACCATTCCCACCCTTTTCTCCACTCTTCACTCAGGTCCCTGGGGATCCTCTGTTCTTCTACTGTGGAGAGCTTCCATAGCAGCCTTGCTTTGGGAAATTTGGAGAGAACGCAATAATCAAATATTCCGGGGACAAAGTTAAACAATTGCTGCTATGTTCGAAAGGATCAAAGTAGCAATCATATTCTCAGCAACCGACCACAAACGCTTCAAGGACATTCCTCCTCGGCCTTCCAATCACGATTTACTTTTCTCAATACAGCAGACCATCTCCCGCGCCTCTTTGTGGAGACCACCTGAGCCTGGTTGTGTTAAACAACTTCGATGGTTGCTCTATTGGCAACCCCTGTCCTGCAGGCATCGGTGGCCTCTTTAGAAACCATGAAGGTTCCATTCTGCCTCTTTCTCGAAACACATTGGACACTCAGACTCACAAACAGCCGAAGCCACTGCCTTACTCAAAGGGCTCAAATTGTTCAATAGAGCCTGGACCTCTCACTAATCGTTGAAGGTGACTTGAGCAATGTAATATCCTGGGCTTCTGGTACAGCTACCTGCCCATGGTCCCTAATCCACATTTTTGACGTAATCTCTCACTTGAGTCGGGGACTCTCGATCACTTGGAAACATGTATACCAAGAGAGCAATTCATCCGCAGATTCTCTTGCCAAGGAGGGTGCTATTATCACCACTGGCTGACCACTTTTTTGCATATTCGGCCAACACAAACCTCGGACCTCCACCGTTCCCCCTTACAGTTCTAGTGTTTTTTCTCTCCTCCCAAGGGATTTTTGTAAGGTGCGTCCTAGATTTGGGACACCATTAACGCTGTAAATAGCCCCTGAAGTCTTAGGTGGCGCAAATCTTGCATTTTTACACGCCAATATGTACAATGTTAACCTTACCAAAAAAAAAAAAACGTGAGTCCTTTGAACCCTACGTACTAGCAACAGGCCAATTAGTGACTGTTTAAGTTAAAATGGGCACACTTAATATTTATATAAGTGTACACTGCACTCAGCCTCACCCATAGGGCGAGTCCGATTAACTCGCCCATGTCCGAGTCCACTCGGGCGAGTCACGAAACAATGGTTATTAGAGAATCCATGACTACTACCCAGGGTAATACTTATGGATTTAATATTTGACTAATGGGCACATAATTGACATATCATAATTACCACCCCGGTTAAACTTATGGATAACTATATTCTGTGGTACATATGGGATATTATAATATTACATAATTATATTATTACATAGCTATATTATAGTAAGGTGAATTACCAGGGAGTATAATTATAGAAAACTTATTATCGATGTTTTATATACACTGAAATAGTATACAGACACAAATGAACAAATATATAAACAATATTACAAAAATATTTATTACAATTGTCTGATATTTCTATTTAATGTAGCGACTGTTACTTATTATTTATAATATTATAATGAAACATATAATAATTCAATATGCATTTATAATAGTATTCATTATACATTATAATAACCTATAATGTAGTTGTAACCATAATATTATAAAAGAAATAGTTATAATACTGTAAATATTACTCGCAATATTAGTTATTACATATTTTACATAACATATGTATTACTATTATCAAAATAATATCGCATAACCAATAGTATCTCTTACTATATTTAAGAGAGAAATTTTACGGTCTATTTTGGTCATTTTATTTCCATTGAGCCATTCTTTTGATATTTGTTTACAAGTGCATGTAGGTGAGAAGCATACACGCCCAAAGTTTGAGCTCAAACCGAATTTGTAGAAAAATACTTATAATTCAAAAACTCATACACTCCCAACTCTCCGATCATGATCAGACGGTTGGGAGGTGGACCAAAATTACTGCAGGAAATAAGGTCTCAAGCTATTGATAGGTTTTTCCATGAGTACATGTGTGTGTGTTTGTAGTGCTTTAGATAAGAGAGAGCACCATAACAAACACCTAATAAGATTAACATAATCAATCAAGAAGTGTACGGCATCCAATGACATATCTAATCATTTTAAAAAACAAACTAAAGAAAATAAAAGTAAGTGTTACAAACACAGAAACAAGAGAGTACAAAACAAACCTTGTAAGATGGTCAGGATCTAAATCTCCCCAATCTGTTTCTTCAATAATAGAAGCCACAGATTTTATCCTCTGCTCATACTCCAAAGATTCTAGAAGGCCCAAATCCTCACTTAGGAGGGCACCTCCATCCGTAGAGAGGACAACCTATTAAGTGGTAACCATTCAATAATGAGATGCTATAAAGAATAGAAAATAGAAAATGCAATGAGCAGGACAAGGGAAGTATTATCACAATAACCAATTGCCTTATTGCACTGTCTATTTCTTCATGAAAATCGATGTCTTTATAAACACAAATGGCAAGTAAGAGAAAATACATATGATTATGAACCAATAAAACTACATCATAATTTGCAGAAGAACAAAAAGATGCTGCAGAACTCACCCTGCCATTAGTAATAACAGCATTTGTCCCATACTCAAGACCTAACTTGTATAAGAAATGTGCCACCTACAAGGCATTGGAATGTGAGACATGTTTGACTTCTAAGAATTGAGACTAAACTACTTTCCTTTTCACAATAGTAAAACTAAATAATCACAAATAATTATAACCAGCTATGTAGAAAACATAAATGCAGCATAAAACAGATCAGCCTTATGAACATTGTGAGATACAAATTTAAATACAAATAAACACAGAGGTAACAGAGTAGTTCCCAGGATTCCATGTAATGTAAAAAGACTAAAGTTGAAAGTAACAAACACGAGTGAGTATGCAGTCATTTCTCGTCCTAGAAGATGTGTATAGTCTTTACCCATTGGTGAATATGACTATTTGCAAAGCAACAGTAGCGGAATCCTCGAAAACTAGATGCTCACTACCAGATAATCAAAGATAAATGTTCTCAAAAATGTGCTTTGTCATCCCAGCACCACACAAAGAATACAAGCTCACAAACAGAACAGAAATCTGTTCGAGGTACAAAGACCATTGCAATAGCTCCACTAAATTATGATTCCCCATCACATTGGCCAACCTATATTGCATCTCAAGCTCTGTAGAGTAATTCTATCAAATCAATTGGACCACCATAAACATGATAATTTCTTCCCAAAATCTCCTAAGCCCACTAAATGGCAACATACAATGAATCATGACCTTGCTAAGTAAAATCAGCCAAAAGGCAAGATTGAAACTACAGGAGGTAACAGAGTCTGCTTGTCAGTCACTTTGAATTAATTCCCTTTGCACTATTGGAGGACTACTTTTCCAGGGCCTGTCAACATAAAATTTGTGGCTAAATTTTGGGTCTTAAGTTTGCTGATAACAAGCAAGGAAAGCAAATTACCAAAAAGGCTAATCAGAAAACAGCATCCAATAACAGAACCAAAAAATATAATAACCCAGATTACAAGAAAATTCAGCCATACAGCACAGCCATGGTAGGGTACCTTCTCAAGCGAAGGACTGCTATAACATAGTGCCACATTGCATGCCTAGAGATTTGAGTGCCACTCTCAGCTTGTCTAAAATATAAGAGACCAACAATATATATTACAAAAGCACAAGTGCACCACTAACAATCCCTTCCTGAATTTTACTCTAAGAAGAATCAGCAAAGATGACTAACTAGAAATAAAATCAACACATCAGGAGACAATGTAATTTTGAAAGATATATACAAGGCCTTTTAAACATGCAACATAATGAATAACAGTTGCTCATTTCATAGAGATTCCATGCACATATCTTCTTTTTGTATGTTTTTATCAACTGCCAGAGTGTAACAGAGAATAATATTAACAATTGCAAGAATTTAGTTTTATTGACATGACCATAGAATTAAGTCGAACAGAATTAAAGTTTTCACACACATTCACAAAACTGAAGGAGAAAACGATAAACCTTTTCTAAATGGCTCTTCATAGAATCAAGAGAATCTTCTGTTAAAGAGGATCTATAAGCTTCAGGCCGTAAACCATTTGCCATCGCTAAATCCGAAATCTTCTCAATAAGTAATTCAAATCCTTCAGCATCTAGAAAGGGAATTTCACTCTCATAAATGGAAAAGAGTTGATTAAGAAACTGGAGCGCATTTTGATGATGGCTGCATCAAGATATCAGAGTAAGCCATAAGCAAACTAAACTCAGCATCAAACCAGATTCAGAAGTTCATAATAGGTAATTTAAGTAACAAATTAGCAACCATACACAGCAAACTTAATAACATAAAAATGATCTTTCAGAATAGGATGGAATGACAAGAAAAATCACAAATGGCACCAACCCAAACAGAGATGCAGTAACTTCGTATGCTTTAATTAGAAGTAGAGAAGGTGATCTCTTTGAAAGCGAAGTGCTATTGACATTAAATAGCACACCAACTCGAGCCCTTTTGGAGCCTTCAATCTACATAAAAAGAGAAGTCCCACTTAGAGAGCAGAGTGGACATACCAATTTTTTAATGAGAAACTTAACCATAATATACGTGTGTGCGTGCTTGCATCTGTATATCTATAAAACAGACCAGGTAATGCAATCCCTGCCGAAGTAATTTCACCCCCTTTCTGGATGTAATATCAACAACAAGAAGATGAGTGACAGGCTTTAAATCATCCATAGCTGAAAAAGACAAGACTCAAACAGATCACACAAAAACCCATATGAATCAGCATGTCAATTGAGGCAATATGAAACGAAGTGTTGAGATGATGAGGAATACTTACTTTCAGGAGAATGCATGTAACAAACATCCAAGATCAGTTTTTCACCCCTGATAACAGCTGGAGTCAATTGTACAAATCTTTTTTGTTCCTTCCCTTCACCAGTAATCTGCAAACAATTCATAGCCAAAAACCTTTGATGGGTGCAAGCAACAATAAAGTACTTGGAAGGACTCCAATCGTCACTTGGCAATGTATGGGTCAATGGATAATCGCTGATAACCCTCTAATATTTACTTACTTCTGGGTTGTATCGATTATAACCGTTCTCAGAAAGCAATTTGTCCAAGACATCTCTGCGTGAATCTATATGTCCATAGTAAACTTGTTCTTGAATTCTGGGGAGCTCTTCATTCATGGCATTTATGGCTGCATCCTGGTCCACAATGGAGTTAAAGAAGCAACAATATTATACAAATTCCCAAAGACATAACTTAAACGGACATGTTCCTTTAGACCAACTATTAACGAACATGTTAAGTTGCATTTATATGTTAAACAGTATTAGTAGTGTGTGCCCACTAACTTGGCCACTATCACTATTGCATTCCATAAATGAAGACTGAAGAAATACAATTGGGATTTTCTTTGTGATTGATGGAAAACATCTGCTCATGAAAGAAAATAAGAATGGTCTATTAATAGAACTGAAAACTTAAGGGAGACGCAAAAAGGAGATGTAAAAGAGCATATCCATCCACCAACATTCCACAAAGAGGATTTGCTGGACAAGCCTAGGAAATATTTCTGCGAAGCATTAATGACAGCATAGTTTACTTTTACAAAGTAACCTCACAATCATACCTCATTGGACTCATAGACAAGCCCATTCATCAGGAGACAAGAGCCTAGTTTTGATAGTCCCAGCTTGAACACAGAAAGCGTGGATTCTTCAACTTTATCCATGAAGACAGTCTCCTTTTCAAGTTTTAGTAAGACATCATTTGGTGGTGATTTAACCTTTGATCTGTGAAGAACAAAAATACACTTGTTCATTACACAAACTAACAGCTCAAGACAATCACAAATTCCACATCCATTCCAGCGCGCACTCAGTTTGAGCTGACTGCATGCCACAACTTTGGAAAGAAATTTAAAAATCTGAAGAAAGGAAAATCTGAACTTCGTGTCAACAAGAAGAAAACAAAGATCATACACTAGAGTTTCAATAAACGCCCCTTCCACTTGATGTATTTCAAGCGTTTCATCAGTAAGAGCTTCAGAATCACTCCATAATTTATACACCTGCAAGCCATTCAAAAAAAAAACTCAGGATTTTAACATATATGTACAACTTTTTCAGATGACAAACTATTAAGTGAAGAACAGAATTGATGTATTTAAGGACATGCTTGACCACCCTTCCATATGGGAGAGGCAGGGAGTCTCCCTTTCATTATGGAAGGCCGTCCTTCCATTAAAAATGATGGAAGGCGGCCTTCCAAAAATGGCCCCTTTTTAACATTGAGAAAATGCAGAGTGGATGGCTGCCCTTCCACAGGCATGCTTCCATGAGGCATTTTCAAACCTGGGAGTGGAAAGCTCCACTCCCACTTCCAGAAAATTCCCATTACAAAACATACCCTAAAAGATTAACTTAAGCTGCAAAAGATTTATGAACACTTCAAAACCTTCATTTAAGAATTTAAAGAAAAAAGGAAAAAGAAAGAGAGAGAGAAAGAAGAACGGAAACTAGTGAACCGGTAAAACAACCTCATCATCCATCCAGGAAAGAAAATTAATGGAGAAAACACTATCTTACCAAGGATAACAACTGTTTAGTTAAATAACCTATGAAAGAACAAATCAAAGAGAAGAATGCAAAACTCCACAAGAATCAATGCACATACATTTCTTAAAAACTCGAAGGCCAACGTTGTACCATAGTTTTCCTCAATGTAAAGGAAAAGGCGTATAATCTGCATTTAAGCACAAGAGAATATCACAAGCAATAACATTAGACTCCAAACAAGAGGAACAGTTATGAAAGAAAAGAAAGTCAATGGCTATGAAAGCAAAGAAAGTCAATAAATACTAGAAAGAAAAAGAGAGAGATTATTCAACATCATCAAAAAGAGGTGCAAAACAAGGTAGTTAGAGAAAACAGGCCTAGGGATATTCCACTTCAGGAAGCATTTAAGTGCAACTAAAACAGCAGCTCTAACTTCAGATCCCAAGGGGGTAGAGGTTCACTTTAAGGATAAGCAGGGCAAAGTGAAGAAGGCTTTGGCAAACTTATCAAAGTAGTGGATTCCACAGACACAGAAGCTAGGGCTATATTTAACTATCGTAGGTCTGTAGCAGCCTCCTTAATTAGCACCAAAGGGGACTCTGTCAAGAAGATTACCATGCTATCCAGTGCTTCACGGGCCATGAACAATTATTGCCGTACATCAGAATTTAGATTCTTGTACAGTAGAATAACTCTCTTCATTGAATGGAAATTGCAACAGAATTTCTATTCAAAAATTGCTACCCTTATGTTCCCTCAGACACTTATACCTAAGATCCCTCTGCAACAGGGCATATGACAGATCAAACAAACAGATCATCTAGCATATTTAAAACTTTCCATGTAGAAGCTTAAAAAATCTACATGATTTCCAAATGGTTTTCAATGAAGAAGCATGCACAAAAGGGATTCATCTTGAAGCAGTAGATAGAAGGATCTATCATGCTAGAAATCTCTGACAAATACATTAACTGAGAAGTAATTATAGCAAGGATATCCATGGACACCTTTTTTCTGGGACCCTCATAGTTCACTAAGAACAGAAAAGGGCACCCAGGCTTTCATAAATTTATAATAGCAAAAGTAATCAATAAAAAAAGTAAGCTTAAACAAACTAATACAGAGAAATATGACAATGAAAGTTGGATATCAAAAAACTTCAGAAAAATAATAGCAATAATATTATTGTTATTGTTTCACATGCATTTGGAGTATAGAAAATAATGACAATATAAAACACATGTTCTCCTACTAGAATAAAATACTCTTAGAATAACAATAGCAATAATATAGGACCTGTAAACAGAAGAAAATGCTAATTAGTGTTCACAATTTCACCCTTCAAATCCTAGCACATCATTTGAATCTGATCCACCTTCCAAATGTCAACGACTTCTGGAGGCATGAATGCATCATGAAAGAATCTTTACTATCTATATTAAAAGCATAGTGTACACAATTTTTTTTGCTGTCTGAGACAACAGTTCCAAATTAAGTATCCTCAGGGACAATGTTTTAAACATCAAAGCAGTGGTTCAGACTTCAGACCAGTCACCCACCAATTCCAAGTTAAACTCGACAATTCGGGAGTCAGATCAGCGAGAGAGAGAGATTTGGGGATGAAAAATGGAAAAAAAAATTGCAGAGGCCAATCCTTTAGCAGAGAAGGTAGCCACCTTCAAGGGGCCCCCACCAACCCCGACGAGTTTTTTCCTTTTAGCATCTTCGTCTGGTTTTAGTGTCTCTCCTTCTCCTTTTCATCTCTGATCCCCTTTTCTTAGCTCTACTTATTACTCTTCTCCTGCCCTCTCCTCTCTCTTTCACCCCCTCTGCACCCCAATCCCCCCCTCCTCCTCCTCCTCCTCCTTCTCCTCCTCTCTCCTTCCATTCATCATTTATTTTCCCCCTTCTTGCTTCATCTTCTGTTTTGCGGGCATGACTTTTCCAGGTCTGGGATCTCGGGTACAATGTTTGCCTATCTCTGAGGGCTGCCCCTTCTAACTTTCCCACAGTGGCTGAGCACCCAGCTTGTGGGTAACCTCCACCCATTTTTGACACATGCGCTCCTCAAACATGTGCCTTCTCTCTTCTCTCTTTCTTTTCTTTCTTAACTTTTATATTTTGTACAGAGCACCTAAGACGTCGGCTGCTCTCGTACGCTAGACTAGAGTGGCTAAGCAGCAGGCTGTGGGTGGATTCCACGCCCTTTTTCACACGCACTCGTCATATGGTCTTGTCTCCTGTCTCTCCTTCTTTCTCTCAGTTTAAGTTCCTATATAATGCATCCCCGCCTACACAAGAAAATTGTTGATAAAACTCCAAAATAGCACTTTTCTTTAACCCAAGTTTCTTTTTCTCTCTCATGAAATATAACAAAATTTTGTGGTAGCAAACATTGTCTATAGCACACCCAACCATGTCGACCGCCCTCTCTCTTGTTCTCGATCATGTCTCTCCCTCTCTTAATCTCTTCTCCCACTTTCTCTCACCCCTACCCCATCTCTCTTCTGTCAAGTATCGCGGTCTCCCATCTCTCCCTCCCTTAATCTCTCTCCTTATTTCACCCATTCATTTCTTCATTTCTGCCTTTTATCTCTGTTTCTCTTTAACTCTCGTCGCCATAGGATACTAGTTCAAGTGGCCCAACATGTGTGCAGCCAACCAACCCCCTTTTTTCAACCTTTTGTTCATGCTAGAGCAACTTTTTGTATAAGAGCACATGGCATGCGTGCTGCCCTACTCTCACTACTTGTGAGAACCTTTGTACTTATCACTATTTAGTAATATGGTGCCACAATTTTCAAATTAAAAAAAAAAAGAAAAAGGCAAAAAAAAGGAAAACAAGTACTTATCAAATCAAATGTTTGATTTCATCTAATAGGAGCTATAAATAAAAATCAAAATCAAATATTAAATTAAAAACACAAAATTAAAAATCACAAATCAAGCTCAAAATGAAAAAGTAAACCCTATTTTTCATCATTCAATTTCATATAATAGGAACTATAGATTCAGAAAAATGATTTACATTTTTTGAGTTCAAAAAGATCAAAATCATAATTTCTTGAGAGAAAATAAAGCAGAATGGCAAACAAGATTCGTGTAGCCCACCCCAAATAGTTGTGATAAGGCTCGGATGATGATGATGAATCAAGAAAAATTGTTAGGGATTTGGTAGATCAATGTGACAGGAACATTTTATGACAAATTTGAACAGATTAAGTAAAACAATGAGAAAGAAATCAAAGATTTTTTTAAAGGTTTTTTATTTTAGGTTCCAAAACTCCCGAAATTTAACTCGATTTCTTCTATTTTACTTTTTAGTTAAAAATTGGTTGTATATAAAGGAAAGAGGGCTCAAAAACTTGCATTTTTACACTAAATACATGATTTTTGATGAAGAAATGAGAAAGAACCATTGAAAATGGCGAATTAGGGTTTTTCTCCAAAACAACCTTCTATTTTCAATTGCCCAATTCCTTGGGGGACTCAGGTAGGTCCCCTGAGACAACATGAGTGTTTCCAATTCGGCTAGGCAATTCTTTAAACACTGCCCAGGACATTGCAAAACATCCAATTGCACATTAAAAAGGAAGCATGCTCTTTTTGTCATTATTGTACAACTTGGAAACAAACTATTCAGTTCAGATACTTGGCCCCTTTTGTTTCACAAGTCAGAACTTCCGTTACGAATATCAATAGACAACACTAAGTAGGCAGACTGATTAAAAACACACTGAATTACATAGGCTAGGATATCAAACCAACGTTAGAATAGTCTCCCTGCACATTTAACAAAAAATACCAGCAAGGATGGAACAAGAGAGCCTTTGTATCACAAGAACATTCTGCCATGTAGGCTTGAAACAAGAATAATGTAATTGACACAGATATTTACTTGACCCTCAGAAAAACACACATGTAGCTGCTTGGAGCATTTTTCATGTGGATGTTGATGCTAGGAAATAAAGCGATTCTGGCTGTGGGCACCGAATAACTCAATCTACGTTTTGTAATCAAGAAGTTCAATTAGACAGTTTTATTGAATAATTTTGTATTCCTGACCTAAGAAAGTAATTGACTTGGGCTTTATTTGGACTACTTAGCTAACGACTGAACTCATTGGGGCGGAAAAAGCCCTCTTCAACACTACGCTGTTAGTTGAGGCAAGCCCAGAGTAGGCTGCTCAAAGCTTCAACAGCAAAACTTCCTTAAACAGTCGCAGGGAATATGTCTCACAGAACATTAGTAACATTCCAGATGACCGAGGCAGCTTATTCAATACATCAAAGTCTATGAATACAATCCCATAAGAGAGATTTTATAGCAACTACATCTTCTAAGGTTAAAGGTCAGCATCTAGAGTTCAATGTGGACTAATAACTATGAGTTTCACTAAAGGAAAACCATGCCATCATTTTAGATTAGCTTGGAGAATTCCAGTATTAAAAGATTTCTAAAGGAATGCGAAGATTCCCTACTGGTCACCTCAAGCAGTGGTAATCTTGGTTAAGATTGGGTTCAACTCTAGTCCGTCTCATAGTTACCAGAAACATTGAAGCAATGTTAATGGAAGCAGCACATGGAGGTGCAAAGAGGTATTAGGGATACCTAGGACACACCAAGATAGAAATAGTTTTATGTTTCGGATTGCCATGATGCACAAGGTTCCTAAAACTAACAATCCGATCACATTGCAGTATTGCAGCCAGTTTTGTTCCTTCCTAGACCACATCTATCATAACACAACGGAAAACAGAAAAGCAATATATAAAAATGTAAATACTGGAAAAAAAACGAAGAAATACATGGCTCATATAGACATGGTGCAATGCCCAAAAAAGTACGCATTATATAATGGGCTACCAACAAACCAAATAGTTAATCCCCTGCATCAAAGAAACTTACAGAACAACACAATTACTAGATAGAACTTGAGCAAAGAAATATAACTTTAGGTGTCAATGGTCAAATATTCAATTACCAAACTACCAATATCTTCCTTCATATCACTTTGACACTTCTCTCCAGAACAAATGGGAAGTTCACCCTCGTTGTCTTCAATTTTTGTGCTCAATTTTGATGAAAATAGTATCACTCCAAATCTCATAGGAATATGGCTTTCATACATAGAGAAAATTAAGTTGATGGACTGCACCAGAAACAAGAACACCAAAAGTCAGGCTCACATCACTCAAGCAATATTATATTGGTATCATAATATACGGGCACTACAAGTCAAACCTAAAGGGCAATGGAAATAAACAAACAAAACAGCACAAAACGACTTGCCTCAATTCCTTTAATTGTAGAAGGATCAACTACATAAACAGCATGGAACAAATTTTTGCGAATATACCGCATTTGGCCAGGGAAGACAGGCATCAATAGCTGCATCAAGAAAGTAATGACATAAATTTAGGTAAAAATCAAGAGAGAGCCATAAAAGAAAAGCAAACACTAGCAAAAAACCATTAAGAATGAGACCCATTTTCTTGAGGTCCCCAAAAAGTCCATTAGTGAAGCTCTCAACCTCATTCAGATTGCTTCGCCATCTCTTATACATTGCATCCTCCTCCAAGTTGTTGAGATAATGTACATGGCTAGAACGAAAATCTACACGAAATCCATTAGATTCAGAATGAGGTGGCGATGACAACAACTTCCTTATGGAACTTCGAGGCACCTACAAGCATATATACAACACTATCAGCTCACTTGCGAAATTGCCAAGTCAGGAATGTGAACTGCAACCAAACTTGCACAGACAAAAAAAAAAAAACATCCCACTGATAGAAGATAAGTTATACTATAACCCAATGGACTATGAAAAATCACAATCCACTTGGATCATGATCCTAATGGCAAGTCCACTCTCTCTCCATCACCGGCCATCATTTCATTGGATGGTCATAACTCCAGCACATTATGATTCTCTATGCCATATTAGCAAGAGTGAACTTTCCCGGAATAACACTTACGATCAAAAGCTCCTCTACATATTAAACTACACAAAAAACATATAGGTAAACTGAAGTGCCTGTACACACATGCGCACAAACACACATCATCTCAAAGTGTGGTACCCATTGTGCAACAAGTGATTTCCCCAAAGGCATGCCTCCTCACTACTACCATATTAGGCTCAAAAGCACATATACAGAAGCATAAATTTTACCTTGATATTAAGAAACTGGTCAGCCAAAGATAATTCTTTATGTATCAAATCCATTAACCTACAAGGACACCCCACAATGTATGAAATGAGCATTAGTATGTACTTACATATCATTGAATAGCAGTCATCATTAAATAATCAATTTTATTTTTAAGAAGTAGGAGTTTTATTGATGAAAAAAAAAATTGCACAAAGCAAGAGTACATCATTAAAGTAATACTAAAACATGAATGGAGATGGAAAAAAATAAAGTAACAGAAATCAAACAAAACTGCAGCAACTTGGAAAACAAAATGGCATAACTAGACACATCAAACGACAATGGCATCCTATGATCACGAGCAGGAATACATTGTCAAAATTGTAAAATAAAGATACGGAAAATATCTCAAATCATAAAAATGCCCCACACCATCAATGGATATATCCAAAATTCACTATTAATAGAAAGAACCATAATGACCTTACTCAAGAAATCAGGTTTTCAAATTATTTGGGTTTCCGAAAATGAGTAAACTATTATTATACTGACTATGAACCATATTCTAGAACATACAGAACCTAGAGAATTGATATGAACATCCGCAACAAGTCCATGTAAGACTACGCATCAATTCCCCCTGAATAGGTAGGTAGCATTGGGAATTCAACTCAGTCACAATTATGTCTTCACTACTCATGCCCCAACTCAAGCAAAAAGTACACTATTTGTCCACCAAAACTTGTGGATAAAACTGAAGTATAAGGTCATCCTTGTTGTAATGGACCCAGATGTACAATTCTAAGAGATGGCGTGAGGAGGTAGGGCAAAGATTTTGCAGACCCAATATGTTGGCAAGAAGAATTTTGAGTAAAATATTCCAAAAGCCAAGATCAAATAGGCCAGTGTGCTGTTAGTGTCTGTCACGCAATCAAGTTGATTTGCCTCAAGGAACTCATCTCTGCCCCCCTCATTTCATCAAGGGCACTGCTCTAATGTGAGGTTAGCCCATAGTTAACTAATAATTGTCGCATCCTTTGCAGACTGAGGAATTACACTGGTTTCAATGTACACCAACCAAAACTTATCCATCGTACAATATATTGCCATTCGTATTAGAACCAACTATTCAGTCATGGACATGGAAAGAAAAGATGCATCTATATCTATACATACAAAAGAATACCAATAGAACTAAAAATAAGAATATAATTAATGTAACAGCCGAGCTAGCCTAAATGGAATACATAGATCAGCAAGAATTTCTACAGCCAGCAGAGATGGTGTAGAATAGAACCACAGTGAATTCAGAACAAGTTCTCAAATATGTGTACTTAATGACACATCAAATTAACCTAAGAATCAGCAAGATGCTAATTAGAGAGAAAATGCAAGAGTTATGGAGAAAGATGAGGCAAGAGGAATTTATAACGATTTGATTGTAGTCTCCAAACTTTTTTTTCTCTCACGCTTCAAGCTGTAAAGTATTACTTTTCTAACAAATTATATTATCAAAAAAATTATAACAAAAGAAAATGAAAGAGATCATATCACAAGCAAAAGATCGATAAAATTGCTAATAACAAAGATTAACAGTATCAATGGAAACGGCACCAACTATGTATTTTGCATCTAACCACAACATGCATAACATTGTCCCAAATAAAAATATATGTGATAATAAGACAACAGAACATGATTCTTCCATGAAAGTGGCATCTCACATAAAATTCAAGACGGGTAAAGAGAATTACAAGTAAAGGTCAACATCCTCAACGTTGATTAAAGCTCCATTCAGTGCCATTAAAGACTTCCCAGGTGGAACCATTCGTTGATTTGCTAATATTTCATCTTTCACAGAGGCATTGAGCTGCCCAAATTTGACAACAAACAATTACTCATATGTTAAAAACATTCTAAAAATTAGAGAAAATGAATTTATTTGGATATCACCGCAAAGTATGAAATTTGATAACAAAAAATATAGCAACTTAAGTGGCGAAAATGACCTTCATTCGAGATAAAGAGGAAACAATGCTAGGAAAATTTTGGCTGATTTCTTGCATCGACTGCAAGGGGTCTGACGCATGAACAATTCTCTGAGCTGTTTGATGCCCCAAATCTATTTCAAAAGGTAAGTTAATAAATAAATAATAAGCTTGAAACAGCTATTCAAGTTAAAGAAAGAATTAAAGAATGGAAAGTTTAGTAAGATTTTAAATAATGTCTAAATCTTGTAAATATATGATATTGAATGATTACCCTTGAGTTCCCACACATCCAGAGTATCTGAATCAGATACTGTAGAAGACAACAAAAATTCCCTAAAAGCCATTACTTCCGTAGTTAGATCAGGCCTGCGCTCCTGCATATTTACAAACGGTATAATGACCAAAACAAATGCAAAATATGTAGCGATAATCAAAAAGTTAATGCACTTGAATAATATTCCAATGTGAAAACAATGGCATCCTATTACATAGTGATCATAATAATATCCCATGTTTCAAAGTTATGGTTTTTTTCAAGTACTAACCAGGATCTTAGAGAATATAAACCCCCTAACATCTTGGCTGAGATCTTCAGTGCGAGGATCTTCCAGAGTGACACCTGAAAGAAAATCTCAACCAGTCAAATAGGGAACTGGAGACATGGAGAAAGATGCCCAGATATGCATGCATTCCATTGGAATAGAAAATTAATTCACTGGATGTAATCCTCTGAGCTTATGAATCCATTGAAAACACAAGCCATCAACAGGTCATTACTGATAAAACAAAGGCTTATCAGATTATATAAAAAACTATCCTGCCAAACCATAGTAGCTTCAAACTAAGGTTATTCTTTTCCATCTGAGAACAATTGAGAGTAGTGCCGTGTAGTTTCACAAGTAAACAAAGCAATTCAAAAACCAGGCTTATCCGAGTCTACTCGCCCAACTCACTAAGAACCAGCACCCTGCTAATGAAGGTTCCAAATGAGCCCGACTAGGCAGGTCTGAGTTGGACGGAGTCTGTCCTGGTCTTAAAAAGATCAGCTAATACTTTACAAACTGCAGTTTTCCTAATACAAAACTCGCCGAGCGGACTCAGGACTTGGCGAGTCGACTCACCCTGAGCCTTGGCCAATTCCCAGAGCAACTCCGGTTTGTAACATTGAGCCAAGTGAAAGGAATCCCCAACTCATAAAAAATTACTCATTTGAATAAAATTTGATTATAAAAATGACTCCAAGATAATGGCAAGCATAGCATCATAACCTGCAGTAGAATGTCCAATAAACTTCATTTTATTTCATATTATTTTCATATCTCTCTTCATCACTTTATTTTCAAATAGTTAGGGCTCTACTAAGCCTGACAAACCACTGTTTACCAAATTGCTACAACAATGGATTGAGGATTTAAAATTGCCATAAAATAACAGAATGGGGTTGGTCCCTTTCTTTCTTATAACAGTAAAGATAGGCAAAGAAAAATGCCACACAAAAAAAAATAAAAAAGAGTAAATTTTGAAAAGAAAGAAAAGGGGAAATTCAGAGAAAATTGGAAACGAATGGAAAAAGTAGAGAAGCAAACAGGGTAATAAATCCCTTTTTTTTAATGTGTTTAACTAGCAAACGCACTAATATTTCAAGAAATATATTAAATTTGTGCAAGAAGAGTGATTTTTTCCCTTTATAAATGACTTTTTTCAGTTAGTTTGTATGGATAGCACCTCCCCCTCCCAAGAACAGCCTCATTTTCTGGCTAGGCATCATTTCCATGATTTAAATAATAAGGCAAAAAAACAATAAGCAAATATTTTAAGGTCTCAACCTGAAGGAGCAAACAATCTGGGAGTGGATAAAGAACCAAACTATCAAATAGGGAGTAGATTGCAAGACATTCTAGGGTCTTTAAAGGGAGAGAGAGAGAGAGAGAGAGAGAGAGAGAGAGAGAGAGAGATAGAGAGAGAAAGAGCTAGAGAATCACCAAAGTAACTCTCTCTCTTGAAAACCACTTGTTAATCACATACTATCCCTAATATGAAAAAGACTAAAATGCCCTTAAACTTCACAAGGACGAAAAACAACCCCTAAGAATGAATTTTTTTATAAAAAGGGGATGCTTTACGTCATTTCTTAGGCATCATCAAGACTGACCAGTTCAGTGCTAGACCAATGGACTGGCATGTCCAAACGTTGGATCTGTCGATCCACAGGTCCAGCGCAAGTTCACTGGACCACCTGCTCCAGGGGAGTAGACAAATAAGACAGGCCACAAGTTTCCGATTCGACCCGACTTGTCAATCCGATCTTAACGACATTGGTTCCTTTAGGAGTGGCATGATACTTTCCTACTATCTACGATTTTCCCAAAGTCCTCAAAAGGTGGCATTAAAGTCCTCTTGGGTGGCTTGATGTGTTGCTAGTCAGGATTCCTATAAAAGTTGGAAAATCACATACGGCCAAGCAATGTCCGAAAATTCGGCCGCCCCCGACCGCCTAGGCGAAAAAATTTTCAAAATGCTTAGGCACAGTCTAAGCAGCAGCATAAGGCGTTTTGCTTCTGAGCACCTGCTTGGGCTGTCTAGGCACCGCTTAGGCGCTATTCTCTGGGCGGCCGCCTAGGTGCCCCTCGTGTCAATTTTCGGGCAATGGAAAAAAACCCTTTGGTAAGGGTAAAATACGTAATTTTTCCCCCTAAAAAGGGGGGAAAACGGTTTTAGGGGGTATTCTAAACCCTCAATATACAATCCGCGGCATTTAGGATGAGAAAAACCCCTAAAAACCACTATTTTGTGATTTATCGAAAGATCGATAAATTTTATATTTTTCCGATATCTTCCCAAAACGAAGAAAATAGTTCGTGGATGGAATTGGAGCCTTCTAATAGTTGATTTTGAGAACTCTTAGCGACGCAATAGATGAGGTTTGCACCGACACCGATTTGTTTTTGATATTTTTTCAGTATTATCATATTTAAAAGAGGTTTTTGATTTTATTTTGCTACAACACATTATGTTATGAATCATGTGTTTTTTCTTTTACTTTTTTTTTTTATTTTACGATATATTTACAACTTTATCTGAATTGGCATGCATGGGTATGAACTGTGGAGTGGAAGCTTAAACCCCCTCAATGGGTCTTCAAGACCATAGTTGCGGGGATCATAGTCAAGAGGTGTCGGTCCCCTCTTGGAATCTCGATCCATCAGTCCTGGAGCCAGAGCCCAAGTGCTACTCGCTTCCTCCCATCAGGGGATCTCGATCCCAACCTATCGAAACTTAAAAGGGATATCGATCCTTGACTGCAAAGGATCTTGATCTGCTCCTAACTTAAAGGGATATCGATCTTAGTTCTGTACATTATTTTTTCTACACAAATGTCTTTTCTACCTTTTGAAAGTGTTTATTCAATCAGCAATCTTTTAATATTATATTATTCGAAGTGTATGAAAATAATGACATTTTTCATTGATTTATTTATTCTCTTAATTTTCATTTAAAGTCTTTTGTTTATAGTAGAAATCTTTTCTTGAATTTCGTAATATCCTATGTCTTTCATTTCTTAAATAATCAATTTAATGTCATTTCATGCATTTGTTGTATGTCACATCAAATCTTCCCTAAAATCTTTTCCTTGATTTTTAATTATTCAGATTTTCGTATATGATTTTTTTTTACAAAATGTCTTATCTACCATTCAAAAATTTCTACTCAATTGACAAACTTTTTTTTATTTTATATTATTTGAAAGTGTATGGAAATAGTAACATTTTTCATTGATTTATTTATCCTACTAATTTTTATTTTAAAAGTTTTATTTATAGTAGAAAATATTTTCTTGGATTTTGTAATGCGCTTTATGTCTTTCATTTTTTAAATAATCCATTTAAATATCATTTCATGCATTTATTGTATCTCACTTTGAATCTTCCTAAAATCTATTCCTCGATTTTTAATTGTTAAGATTTTCTTACATTACATTTTCTTAACACAAAATGCCTCTTTAATTTCGTATAAATTCTTCTACTTATAATAGAACATATATTTTTGCATTTGTGTTTTTCTTATGTCTATCATTTGCTTATGTCTATAGACTCTAACTGTACTTATATCTATGGACTAGTGTACTCTATAGACTCTAAGTGTACTCTTTTTTTGGGTTCCGTAATTTATTATGCGAATTTCTAGTAATAAAGTTCTTATTAGCATGTGCTCAGCATATTAATAATGCTAAAAGATTGATTATTCATTCTATTATTTTAAAATATTACTTCCACAAAAATTGATAGTACATATTTGGAAGTACATGCACACACATACAATTATGCTTTATCATTCAGGGTTTTTTTTTTTTTGGTGAGTCAATGGGGAGAGGGCCCCTACCCTTGATAGGAATTGAACCTAGAACGTAGCGTTGCAAATTGTCAAGCGCTAACCAACTAAGCCCGGGCTCTTTTCTAATCATTCAGGTAATTGCAATAATATACAGTAACAATTGAGGATACTATACATATACATAAATTTTTCATTCAGGTAATTGCAATAATATATATAGTGACTATTGAGAATACCACACACACACACGTGCACACACACACACACACATACATAACTATATAGGAAAAATAAAATCACACACACGTGTGGTGTTCCGTTTGCACTTCCATATACATGTAGTGCATATGTTCTAGACAATCATTGGTGAGGTATGGGCTAATGTAATTGCCACACCATGTGGTGGAGAGTAATGGCGGTGCGGGCCTTACTAGCCATGTAAATGAGAGAGAGTGTGGAGGGGTTCATTCCTGTTGTGTGTGCTTATGGAAGGTTGATCTTGCCTTAGTTAGGTTTCGACTTAAGCTTGGGGCCGCACGGTTTGGCTAAAGGGGAAAGTCAGCCCCCATGACAACTGCCACCATGACCGAGAAATACAACACTTGCTTTTGGTGGCAGCTCCAAGAGAAACCTTGGACCTGCAGACTAGGGGTGGCAATCAGGTTCGACCCGACTAGTCGACCGGAACGGGGTCTAGGTCTATGTCCAGGTGTTGAATCCAACAGGTCAGGATCAGGTCCAAATTCCAGGTCAGGTCTAGGGCCGGGTCCGGGTCTGGATTGGGCCCTATTGCATTGGGTCGAGTCTGGTCTAGGTAGGGCTTAACCAGACCGAGCTTGGTATACATAAGTAAAAAATATATAACTACACAATGTTCAAAAAAAAGGTCTATCCATCGCCTAGGTGCCCGCCTAGGCCTAGGCGGCCCTCCCTGGGTGCCAATACCTGAGTGGCCACCCAAGCGGGCGCTAAGCACCCAATCCTAGGCAGGTATCCAAGCCCTGGGCACTTTTTTGTGTCATAAAAGGACTCCTAAGGGCATTTTGGGTCCTTTTGACCCACGAATTTGCCTTAAAAGAGTATTGCGGGTATTCTAACCATTAAAGTGAGAAGAAATAAAAAATAAAAAATAAAAAATGAAAACTAAACCCTACATCATCATCATCAGAGTCTTTTACCAACTATTTGGGATCCACTACACGAATCCTGGTCATTCTACTCTATCAAGAGTCATACCTTCAGTGAGGTCATAAGTCCCCATATCTTTTCTCACTACTTCCAACCATA